GAATAGCAGCTTCCCATTAGTTTCTATGGTCGGAAAAGAGCAGATACGGATCAAATGGTTTTCAATGCATTCCTATGGGAAATGCAGATTTGACCTGAGAACTTTTTGACTTGAGAACCGCCTTCCAATACGGATTAAGTTCTCAAGTCAAGACCCCACTGTACATCAGGCTCACGATAATTAACAGAACTCTTCTGTAGAGAGAAGCCCATCACTGAGGATTCATTGCCTATAAAAACGAAAGTGCAGATAGAGCAAACCCGCACAATTTCATTCATCCTGTTTGCTTCTCTGATAATGTTTTTCCCCCCGATTGCTTTAGGCTCGCCTGGGGCGCACTGCGATCTCCATTGCTCACCGCTTGTCCACTGTCAAAACGGCTGATGTCATCATTGGTTTTGAGCATGGGAGAGCAGTGGAGAGGGGGCAGCATGAGGAGCTGATGGAGCGCAAAGGGGTTTATTTCACCCTGGTGACTTTGCAGAGCCAAGGAGACAAGGCACTCTCTGAACCAGCCAGCCAAAGCAAGTGCCCTATCTTTCATTTTTACGAAATACACAGATTTGCTAGCTGAACAAATCAAAATTTTATTTAATGATGCTTCTTTGTTGCATGATGACATAGGGTGCAGTCCCATGCATAAGGAACAGAGAAATGTGCCTTATTAGCAGGTCAGATTATTGGCTGTTTAGCCCAGCATTGACCATCCCATTGGCAACAGCACTGTCTTGGGCAAAAGAAGGTCTTTCTCACCATTGGCTGCCTGATCCTTCTGCCTGGAGATGCCAAAGGGCTGATGTGGGACTTCATCGGTGCAAAGCAGACGTTCTATCACTCAGCTTCAAGGATGCTTTGTTAGGGACATCCAGCCAGAGATTTCAAGGGTCTGTTTGATGACCGTTTGTGATTTCAGTAGAATAGATGGGACAGGATGAACCTGATAAGACTGTATGCCTCTTAGCGCTTTTCTAAAGCACATCTGAAATTTTGGACAGGTGACAAGCTGATTCTCAGGGATGCCTCCGTATCAATAAGGCATCATCATGGCCAGTCCCCATGGGGTGGGAGACAAAGCACCTTCAATTACGGCATCTAAAGTTGCCTGTCTTTTATCACATCAGAATAAACAAGGTGTCAACAATACCGTTTTCTATTGGATCTTCCCCTCATTCAGAATGTACCCTGATAACTTACTTTAAGTAGTACATCTAGATGAGTGGTTGTAGTTTTAGTGTTCACCCTGACTTCTGAGCTATGTGTTTGTGGAGATATTTTGTTAGGGGAGTGCTCCAGTAGGCACAAATACAGTACACACACCCTGTACCAATCTGGAATGGCTGCGATGGTTTCTGTTCTTAGCAAGGCATCCATTGCTGCCAAGGTTGCAAGGACAACTGTGTGTGGCTTCTCGTTACTGTACTTCCTCTTCCTGTCTGTAGCCCACGGATGGTCATCTAGGGGCAGTCAGCGCTCTGGTGAGGCATGGGATCATGGGTGGGGCATGGGGAGACACCCAGGGCCCTTAGGAACTAATCTAGACAACGTGGAGGAAGATTCAGGTCACACGTTGGTGCTGCAAAATTATTAAACAAGAACTGCAATGTTCTTGAAAACAAAGCTTAAGCCAATCTCCATACTTCAGTCTTGTCATAGACAGATTTGCTTTGTGCAGTATTAACACTTAAAACAAACAACACCTGATAATGACTAAGAGATGGTGGGATTTTCTTGCTGTCTAATGTGCTCTTTTGGCTAAACTTTACAGCACCCGAGCCAAGACTTGAGCAAGTACAGGCCTTCGGCAGGGGAAGCTATCGAGCCAGCTTGAGGTAAGACAGGTCTCTGTGCCTGAAAACAGGGAAGACTGCTTAAGAATGCAAGGATATGAACAATGATTTTCCCTACAAAGGAAATTCTACTCTTACAAAAACTGCATAATGCTTTTCTGTGAACGATTGGTGTTACTTTTGAGTAAGGCAGACATGAAAATCATAGGGAAATTGGGCCACAACCTATTGACACTGGTGTCTAGGAGGGAGAATAGCACTCGTGTATCTCCCACAAAGGTGTTACTTTTGAGTAAGGCAGACATGAAAGTCATAGGGAAATTGGGCCACAACCTATTGGTGTCTAGGAGGGAGAATAACACTCGTGTATTTCCCACAAATAATTGTGTGGCTTTGTCCCTATGTTTTACAAGTGCAGAATCAAGACACCAGTGGAGAAAACACTGACTACAAGGAAACCTTATTCATATTTCATGCATTATCTGACAATACTCGATATAGACAATACCAGAGCAGTGTTTCACTAAGTCAGGCGGTATACAAATTTCTTTTAAAAAAACGGTGTGTAGAGTTGAACTAACATTTCTCATAGGACTTTCCTTGTGCAAAAGCAGGCCACTTTGCAGAATTTTATGCTCCTACTCTTCTGCTTTTTAAACATTGTCGTACTTTATTTCACTGTGGAGAAAAACAAATTCCAGCCCAAAATGATGTCCAGGAACAAGACATCATCCAAGGTGCTGCGGCGAATGTAAAACAGGGGCTAGACTGCCAATGCTCCTGTGGCAAGCCCACCCCACAACACAAACCCCCTCAAGAAAAAGGGTAAAGATGTGCCCTACATCACCGTCCAAGAAACCGCTGAAAAGCATCCCTTCTGCCTAGAGACATGTGGGTGGAGAATTTTGCAGTGCCTTCTGCGCACGGCTGTAGTCAAAGCCCCTTGAAGCCAATTCTTGCTTTCTCTGCAGCCGTGTGACTTGGTCCAAGCTAGCTGAAGATATTTTGCTGACTACAGGAAAGAACAGTTTAGCATGTCTTCCATGTCCTGCATGCATAAGTGAGCTGGACTGACCCTTGAAGACCCTGTCAGTGCTTTCAATGGGATGGGGTTCGCCGCTGCACCTGAATGCACCAGGCTGGGTTTGGAAGGCAGCACAAGTTTTGCGACATACGCCAGTGATTCTCAAACTGGGGTCCCCAGATCTTCTTGGACTGCAACTCCCAGAAATCCTGGCTGGCAGAATGAGTAGTGAAGGCTTCTGGGCATTGCAGTCCAGGAACATCTGGGGACCTCAGTTTGAGAACCAATAGCATGCACAACAGTGTCCTTTAGCAGAGAAGAAACAAACGGGGAATTCAGAAGGGACAACCAGGAGGTTGCCACTGCTGCCCAGCTCCCCTCCATCGCTCGCTGTCTGAGGCAATTGCCTCCCTGTGCTTACTGGGACACATGACACTGGAGTGGCAGGTGCTGATCACAAGGTCAGGCAGAACCAGGCCAAGGGACGGGATCAGCAACCAGCCTCAGTTTATGAACTCAATTTTCTTCAGATTTATTTCAGTGACCGTAGCAAAACCGATTTGTCATGAAATGTTCCCATAAATATGATATATATTCTTTACTGAGAGCGGCATATAGCAATGGGTTGTAATAAGGGCTTCTTAGGGTTAGATTCTGTTTATTGAGAACCATCTCGCAGTTGAGAATTGGCATTCTCCAGGGGAGACATGCCTCTCTCACGAATCTGCTTGATGTCATCTCTTAAATATAGCTCATCAGGACAGCTCCAGTGAGGGGCTATAACCCAGTTACGCTCACTGGAGGCTTTGGGAGGGATTGTTATTATGAACACACACGTCCTTTCAAGAGGAACAACATCTAAATTGTTGTCATTTCTGCTTTGTCCTGGAAGCATACTTTTTAGAACCATGAAAGAAAGAAAGAAAGAAAGAAAGAAAGAAAGAAAGAAAGAAAGAAAGAAAGAAAGAAAGAAAGAAGGAAGGAAGGAAGGAAGGAAGGAAGGAAGGAAGGAAGGAAGGAAGGAAGGAAGGAAGGAAGAAAGAAAGAAAGAAAGAAAGAAAGAAAGAAAGAAAGAAAGAAAGAGACAGTCAGACAGGCAGACAGACAGACAGACAGACAGACAGACAACTCATACTGTCAAGAAATCCATGGGTATATTTGTACACACAGTCATGTTGCATGTTGCAAAAAGGTCTGGGTTTTTTAGCTAGACTGTCTAGACATGAAAACAACTCTTTTAAGGGGCCACTTTGTGCCTTCAACTTGCAAGCTGGAGGAAGGGAGAAGATGTGCAGGGATCTTTGTAATAGCAGTACAGTCAGATATTTCACTGACACCCTGAACCTGGTAGCTTGATACAGACCCAGTTCATACATTGTTTTTCCATTAACATATGAATTTCACAGCTCATGCACATCCTGATTTCATGTTGAAATCAATGCGGAATCGGATGGGCAGCAAGTCAATGATGCAAGTCAAACAATTGAACAGCATTAGGAAATTTGGGCTACAGTCCTAAGCATACTTATTTGTATATAGTCGAATTCCACTGAATTTACGAAAACGTATTCCAGATAAAACATATATAGGCTGTGCTAACTGTAGTCTTGGCCAGAGGAGATTCATGGACCAAGTGGGGGATATATCCTACCCTTTAAAAAAAAAATTAAGGGGCATGAGTCATGAACCACCTCTTGGGGGTGGGCTTCTGTTCAGAATGGCAGCCATTCCATTTCATTCTCAACGTCACCAGGTTTTCCATTTTTAATTCAACAATCCACTGCATTCTCTTGGCCTGCTTGGTCTGCTTTTGTTTGTTTCCTTCCCCATCTTTGCTCCCCCTCCCTTTGTAAAGATGTTTAGTACCTCTGCAAGCTATGGAGCTTCAGTTCTGATTAGAGATTGGGGTATTGGTACTCGTATACGAATATCCCTGCACAGGTGGCGTTAACGAGGGTCCAGTCCCGTGGGGCCAGACGATACACTCTCCGATCTGCCGCGGATGCGGACAGCGTGATTCTACCAATGGCTCCACAGCACGCAATCCGGTCGCCACTCCTGGCAGGAAGCGGGAGGATAAGCCTCACTGCAAGGTTGAAGAGTGGCAGATACGAATACCTCCATCCCTAGGGCTGATAACTCTGGATGCCTCCCTTTTGTGCATAGGTGGTCTCATCTGTCTATACATAACGTGGGTACTCATACCCGAGTATCAAAAATAGAGGGAATCATTACTATTGCATGTATTGAGAGAATGACTGATACTGCATTACAATATTTTCATAGAAGTAACAACCACCACCACAGTGAAACTTTACACCATTTTATCCTATAGAATCTCATCTGATGATACAGATTCTTGAAACTGATCTTAAAGAGGAAAGCTTTTCTCCTTCTTTTTTTCGTAGGGCTTCTCTTCGACAACGTTCCAGATCTCAGTTATCAAGTATAGTTCCAGACAATCCAATCTTAGTTTCAGGAAACCATTCAGAACATATCAGCAATGCAACTCAGTATGATGAAGACAGACAGTCCCTTAAAAAGGTTGGTAATAGGAATTATCAGTGTAAAGACAAACGTCTTTTCCTTTTTCTGGACCTGGTGTGTCTATTTTCTGTAAAAATGAAATGCTGGAAGTGAACCCTTTCCTTCAGGTTTGTGCTATGCAGCTTAAACAGAAGAATATTAATTTGCAGATGAAAGAATATACGGCATATCTAAAATAAACATTTGTGAGGAAGGGTTTCTTAGCACACTGTATTAGGGGACAAGTCATAAGCGTGGGTGTTATGAGAAGCATCAACATCCAACAAGTGGGTGGGAGTGTGCATTATTTCCCCTGTGCTGTCCAGGTTTCAGATATACACACAGTTCAGTCTCAAAAAAAATTATGGTTGAAGCTACGCACCCCAAAGCAAAGAAATTCAGTCCACAGAACAATCACTGTCATTTAAGGCATACACATTGAAGGAACCTTCATGAATACAACCTTTTTAAAATCTGAGCTTTCACCCCAAGTAAACACTCTAGTATAATTCTACTTGCCATTCCATTTGCTATAGTATTCACCACTAGTAGTGTAAAAGAGTTGAAATGAAATGCAGGCTTTGGTATTATCAACATCTACAAATGAAACTTTTGTAGCACAGACATATCTGCAGGTACATAATCTCTACTACTCCCTGTCACGTACCCCCAGTGACCCCTGTGTGTCTTGCCTCTCACACAAGTTCACCTTTGGATACGAGTTGTTCTTTACACCTTTTTCACTACCACCAGAGGATATTATCCTCACTATATTAATTATGAGTCTCACACTCTTGCTGCCAAATAAAACAAGATTTATTTAAGGATAAATAAGTGAATCACAGAAGGAAAATCATGGATGTTCTGTTATCATCTTTGAATACTTTATTACGATCAACAGATCAGATGTGTTCTATTATCATTCATTCAGTAAATGTGGATTTGATTTCATATAAGCTTGCTTGTACTCATTTACTTTAATCAAGATCTCACTACTTTCTGACTGTCAATGTACTTCTAATTCCTTTTAATTCTTTAATATTCTCTAAATAACCAACTGTCCAATATCTAGTCTAAACACTTCACAGTCTCCTCCTTAACCAACTCTCTGGCTCTCTCCCACTGCCTCTCTGGCACTCCCCATTTTCTTGACCCTGCCTCCCCCTGTCCTATCATAGGCTCCTAAAAGTCTAAACACTTCACAGTCTCCTCCCTAACCAACTCTCTGCCTCTCTCCCACTGCCTCTCTGGTACTCCCCATTTTCTTGACCCTGCCCCTCCTGTCCTATCATAGGCTCCTAAAATGGAGCTCTAAAATGACTGACAGGAGTGACATGTGGGCTGTCTGCCACAGTCCCCAACAATTGATCCATATTTGAGGAAGGAAATCTCATTGTGTTTAATGGGGTTAGTAATGGGTAAATAACGTTTTTTCATTTTCTTCTTCAGGAATCCAAGTGGCATGTTTACATAGAGTGGTACAAAAGGGATACATTAATAGACTTCTTTCAAGTAGGAAGGGTTGGTCTGCAGTCTAAATTTCTTTGCTTTTGTTGTATAGCTTCAAATATAACCTTTTTTGCTTTAAACCAAAGGTTTTTCTTCCCTCTGTGATAATTTCCCTGCTATTTGACATGTAGAAACTCATAACCATGAATGTTGGAAAAAGAAAGCTTGTGTCTGGTTAAAAACTTACAATAAAGATTTTTTTTAAAAAAATAATACTGTATAAACAACACAACAGTAGAGTCATCGTTGGCTATGTTGCCACTTGCCTACGTAGTGGAAAATTGCATTGCAACCAACTTTTAGCTGTTAAACTTCAAACCCACTGTAGAATGCAAATTATTTTCCCACAGCTAGTTTAAGACTACTAACTCTCTAAAGAAGCCACTCCTCACAGAACAGAGAGGGAATTGTTTAAGACAGGTTTTGCATACAGCTGTCGATGTACTGCTCAGAGTTTTCTCCTGGGAAACACATACTAGGAGCAGATCCACCAGCGCCTAGCACCACTTAAGGGGGGGCTGTTTAGAAGACCAGTGTTTTCACCTCATGATTGCCAGTATCTACATTATTTTCCATTTGCAGAAGAGGGATGAATAGCGGCCTCAAGCTTTCAGAAGTGGCAGAACTGAAAGGTAGAAAAATGTTTGTAATAAAAGGCACAAATAATGGTTCTGATTAAAAGGCTGCAGAAAAGAAAAGAAAGAGGCCAACATTTGGCGTTGTGTGTGACAACACATGGAAACCAGTGATCAGCCCCCACCGTAGGGTGTCCAGAGCAGTTATGCACCTCTTTTGCAACAATAGAGGGGAAAGGGGAGCATAGAAGCAGAAAGTGGTTGTGTCTGAGCCCACTGTTGTATGGATCCGTTAGTAAAAGGGCGATTTCCTTATTCAGAATATCTCATCTTTCCCCTCCCTTACTTTTTCACCCCAAAGGCACTGATTCCTGATGAGGAGGAAGCAATCGAACCTGCTCATGTCACCAGGATTTTGAAATACAATGCTCCTGAATGGCCCTATATGGTCATTGGATCTGTTGGGGCAGCGGTCAATGGGGCAGTCAGTCCTCTCTATGCTCTGCTCTTCAGTCAAGTCCTTGGAGTAAGTTATAACCAGTTTTCCTTTTCTTTGCATTTTTAAATGTCTCAATCTATGCTCTGGTAGAATAGAAGGATCAGACCTTGGAGAGCTTTTTATCCAAGTAAGTGACCTCATCGTCTGGCAAATTGAGGAGGTGTCATTCAAAAACCAATGTTCTTCCATGTTTTGCATCATATACAAACTGGCTATACATTTCTGACGTAACTGGTTCATTTCCGATATTTAGGGTGACTTGCTTCTTTTATTACTTTTTAAAGATTTGTGGCAATGCCAACAGGCTGTTCCTGTGGCTATATGCATGGTGAAATATATTTTTTTTAATATGGAAGTTGAGTCATGGCAACGGGACTTCTTTCTTGTTAGGTTGAAACATTTTACTACTCATCCAAGTAGCTTCTTCAGTCTGAGGAGCATTGGTAGGAGACCCTCCACATTCAAGCTTCTCTGGTCTGAATAAGCTTTTGAGAAGGACAAAGGACTGGGGGTGAGGAATAATCTCACTTCTGCAGTCCTATTTATCATGCTTCTCCTATTTATCATGCTGCCCTTTCATTTGTCCCCAGAAAGATTAGGACCACACACACTAGAAAGACCATGGAATCATAGAATCACAGAGTTGGAAGAGACCACAGAGGTCATCAAGTCCAACCCCCTGCCCTGCAGGAACTCCATCAAAGCACTCCCGACAGATGGCCATCCAGCCTCTGCTTAAAAACCTTCAAAGAAGGAGACTCCACCACACTCCGAGGCAACCTATTCCACTGCCGACCAGCTCTGACTGTCAAGAAGTTCTTCCTGAGATTCAGATGGAATCTCTTTTCCTGTAGTTTGAAGCCACTGCTCCTTGTCCTAGTGTCATGGAAAACAAACCTGTCCCTTCCTCAACATGACATCCCTTCAAATATTTAAACATGATTATAATGTCCCTTCTTAACTTTCTTTTTGTAAAGAAAGTGGCCCCCTAGAGTGGTCGTTTGGCTAGATAGGTGGGGTATAAACAAACAAACAAACAAACAAACAAACATTCCCAGCCCCCCAAGCCGCTCCTCATAGGACATGGCTTCCAGACTTTTGACCCTTTTGGTCGCCCTCCTCTGGATACATTCCAGGTTTTCAACATCCTTCTTGAATTAAGGTGCCCAGAACTGGACACAATACTCCAGGTGAGGTCTGACCAAAGCAGAGTAGAGTGGTACTATCACTTCCCTTGATCTAGACACTATACTCCTATTGATGCAACCAAGAATTGCATTGACTTTCTTGGCAGCCATATCGCACTGCTGACTCATGTTCAGTTTGTGGTCTATCAAGACTCCTAGATCCCTTTTACAGGTACTGTTGTCTAGCCAGGTGTCTTACATCCTATATCTGTACAATTCATTTTTTTCCTGCCTAGGTATAAGATATTACATTTCTCCCTGTTGAAGTTCATTTTGTTAGTTTTGACCCAGGACTCTAATCCGTCAAGGTCATTTTGAATTTTAATACTGTCCTCTGGGAAATTAGCAGCCCCTCCCAATTTGGTATCATCTGCAAATTTAATCAGCATACTCTCTATTCCTTCAGCCAAGTCATTGACAAAGATGTTGAATAGCACAGGGCCCAGGACAGAACTCTGAGGCACTCTACTAGATACCTCTCTTCAGGATGAAGAGAAGCCATCGGTGAGCACCCTTCGAGTTTGGTCAGTCAACCAATTACAAATCCACCAAACAGCAGCACTGTCTAGCCCACATTTTTCTAGCTTTCTTGCAAGAATATCATGGGGAACTTTGTCAAAGGCCTTACTGAAATCAAGATATGCTACATCCACAGCGTACCCTTCATCTATCAAGCCTGTAACTCTGTCACAAAAAGAGATCAGATTAGTCTGACATGACTTGTTTTTGAGAAACCCATGTTGACTTTTAGTGATGACAGCATTGTTTTCTAAGTAATAACAAACTGTTTGTTTAATGATCTGCTCTAGAATTTTTCCAGGAATTGATGTCAGGCTGACTGGGCGATAATTATTTGGGTCTTCTTTTTTTTCCCCCTCCACGTTTTGAAGATAGAGACAACATTTTCCCTCCTCCAGTCTGTGGGGACTTCGCCTGTTCTCCAAGAATTCTCAAATATTATTGCCAATGGTTCTAAAATTACTTCTGCCAGTTCTTTTAATATCCTTGGATGTAATTCGTCTGGCCCTGGAGATTTGAATTCATTTAGAGTAGCCAGGTATTCCTGGATTACTTCTCTACTGTGCTGCATTTCCCCCACTACATCATCTGCTCTTCACCCCTCAGGATGAGCACTATTTTCCTTCTTGGAGAAAACTGAGGCAAAGAAGGTGTTGAGAAGTTCAGCCTTTTCCCTGTCCTCAGTTAGTAGTTGGCCATCTTCTCCATAAAGCGACACTATCATTTCCATGTTTTTCCAGTTGCTGCAGGCGTAGCATAAACCCTTGCTTCCCAGCAGGATCATTCTGCCAAGAATCTACTCAGGAACAAGGTTCACACTCCCTGCCTTGTGTGGTTAGTAGAAACCCTGGTGACACGTTTGTGGCTGCAGTGAGGTGTGTGTGTGTGTGTGTGTGTGTGAGTGTCTGTGTTGTCTGTGTCTGTGTCTGTGTGTGTGTAGCACCTGTAGAGTCCCACCTGCATCAGGTGTAACCTACCTACCCCTGGGAATTTGCCCACCACTGTTCCATCGGTAATTGAAAATACTGGTAGGCAAGTACCTATGGAAAAGGATGAGACTGAGTGTAATGATACCAGGCCATGACTCAGCTACTCTCCACCCACAATGACTGCCCCGTGGACTCTGTTAGAGGGAACTGGGTGCTTTCTTCCCTCTGGGAAACACAGACAGAGCTGTTTGGGGCCGCTTCCTAGGAGGGATGCTTGAGGATTTAAGCAAATAATAAACAACCGAGATAATTTTTAAGCAAACAACCGAGATAAGGAATTCACAAGAATAAAATAGGTTGGGATTGGAGATGGGAGTATTCACATTCATATACAAATACGAATATCCCCACGGTGGCCCCACTCATCCTCCTAATCATTCCCGAGTGGTGTTCTCTTCCTGGTCATCTAGCCACTCTGGTTAGAGGGAAGGAGGACGAGTCTCCCTGCAAGGCTGCCGAGTGGTTAGCCAAGCGGCGCTCTGGAGTGATTGGAAGGAAGAGAGGGGCTGGTGGTGGCGGATGTGTGAGTGGACAGTCTGGCCTCAGAGGCCGGACCCTCGTTAACGCCAGCTGCACGGGGATATTCGTATACGGATAGGAATACCCCCATCTCTAGTTGGGATCTGTCTTAGTGCGAACACACTGCCCAATGTTTTGAACAGAATGTTTTTCTCCCAGGCAATAATGCTTCTTTTTTTTTAAATAAAAAAAATGCTTACTCAGAAAGTGCTTATTTGCACTAATGATGGGCTGCCCACATTCAAGGCCTATTTAACTAGAATGGGCCCAGTTAAATCAAATGTATGGGTTGGATCCAGATCTATGAACTCGGGTTGGCAGCAACTGACTTTTCCTGCCCCTTTCTCTCCACACCAGCCCCTTCAAGTTCCTGAGAATGCCATGGATTCAGGCAAAGTTGAATCTTTCTGTCCACAAAAAAATAAAATAAAATAAAAATTTTAAAAAATAAAGGATCTCAGATCCAAACCATTGGGAAGAATACAATAATATGTTCAACATTATTTTTAAAAGGGCTTCAGTTGTGTTACTATTAGTTCCCATTGTGCTCCCAAAGATTTGTTGTCAGGAGCATGGCAGGGCTTTGAAATATCCTTGCCAGTCATTGGTTCAAGGCTTCCCTGCTTCAGCTTTTCCTTCCAATGCAAAATTGAACTATCAATGGAAACAACATGGAGGGCGTCAGCTTGGAGAGTGTATATGGCATCCACACCTTGCTCTTGAGACGTATGATTGACATGATTTCCCTTCACCTCCTTTGGAAAGGAGGTTAGCATGGTTGGGTTGTGCTAGCAATGGTGGCCAAAAATGAGCCCAACTTGAACCAGACCAGACTGTAATAGGGACTGAGCCAAATCCAAGATACTGTAGAATGGTGGTAGTGAATGAGTGAAATTAATCTCCCCCCTCCCTTTGCTACAGATGTTTCTCTGGGGACATAGATTTGGAAGTAGGGGAACCTATCAGTTTGAAGAAGAAAATGTTCAGTTGAAACATCACTGAGAGTTTCATTTATGTTTGTTAATTTTCACTTTTATGCCAAATTTATGTCTAAAGCATCATCTGAATTCATTCTCTCCACTTCTATTCTCACTTTTCTGACAGTTCACTGTCTCAGTGAATGCGTAGCAAATGGCTTGGATCTGGTCCAATGATACTGGACCTTAGAGCACAGTTTTTTAGCTGCAGTACAGCATGTGGGTACTAGTGGGGAAGTAAATTCAGGGTCCTCAGTTCCACTCCAGCCTCGGTAGCACACCAACTATATCTTTGAACTTAAAGGTTCTCTTTCAAGCATGAAAAGTGGATAAGGAGCACCAGCTCTGTCTTCAAGCATATAATTATTATTTTCCTTTAATAGTTCTGCTCTTTCTCTCTCTCCCCCTCTTTTCCCTCCCTGATCAATTGTGGATCTGCCTGCCATTTCTTTTTACTAAACCCTGCTGAAAAACCGATGCGGCATCTTAATTTTTATGTTTGTTAGATAAATAAACTATGGGTATATTACAGAGATACTCGCAGCCTGGCAGTCATTACACAGAAAATGACATGGAGGTTCATAAAATGCATCTTAGGCGCAGCCCTGAGACCAGATTAATTGCTGTATGGGAAACTGTCATAAAATAACAGTATTTAAAGACTGCATGCAAATGTGCATTTTTTTTCTCAGTCTCTTTAGCTTTCTGTCCTTCCCTGCTGGCAAAGAGTGCCTCTGGTTATAGTTTAGGCTACAAAGCTGTCTTCTTCAATATGACGCCTGAGTGTGACATGACATGAGTCCTCATGGAACAGAACTTGGAATCTGAGTTTTTAAAATGTAATTTAACCCTTCATTTGCCTTGCTTTTGGGAAGGTAAACTAGTTGCCATTACTTATTGAGCAGTCTACAAACACACATAAAAACACACAGATCCAGATGTAAGGCGAAGGGTCAAATATTTGTTTTTGGAATATAGGGAGAAGCTCTTACTTCTCCCTTGTATTCACTTTATTGGGCAAGTTACTTGTGTCTGAGACTGCCACCTTGCTTTCTGTGAAATTTGGCTTGTTACTAACGAACATGAATCCACACCTACCTACGGCAGCCATTTTGTGACATTATCTATGACCCTTTCCCCAATTTGCAAAAATGGCTTCAGGCCTCCCCAATTTATAGATCCGATCAAATCTCTTCAAGGGCTAATGCCTGCAGTTGGGGAGGCGGGGGGAAGCTCTGAGCTTAGCACTAGGGCTGGCATGAGCATCCGATATCCATGAGCAGCTAGCATGGCTCATCAATAATAATAATAATAATTTAACCAATTGACTGGAGGCTATAATTTTCCCACAATGTCCCACAGTGGTACTAATTCAAGATGAATGAGGGGAATTAAAATGGCAGCTAGAGGCAGCCATGAAGCACAGCCTGCCTGGACCATCGCCACTGCTGCCTACAGCTGCCAGAAGAGTCCTTCCAAGGCTCCATTAACATTTTGCCCATCATTCTCTCAAGATCTCATCAGAGCAGTTGCAAATTAACTAGTTACAAGTGTCTCCAATTCTGATTGTCTTCATCCAAGTTTTGTTCCTTCTTTCTTTGTCTTGGCATAGCCAGAATAAAGAAGCCAATAAAGATGGATAGATGTCTTTTATTTCTCATTTAATTTTATCCTTTTCACCCATGTCCCTCCCAACACCTTGGTCGTTCCTTGGTTTTTAGTCACCAGTACATATTATCTGTGGAATGACTCAACCCCCACCATGTGTCAGCTGTTTAGTAATTGCCCTCTAATTAGAAATGCTCATCTATTCCTTTGAATGTCTGGAATTAGGTAATTTTGCAAATATTATCTTAGGTCCTAACAGCTTGTGTTCTTGTGACTCCAGTGATGGGTGGGGGTGGGGGGAAAGAAGGAAGAAGACGATTTACGTAGTTTTTGCTTCTGCTGGTGCCAAAGTGTGACTAAATTAATAGACGGACAGCTCGCTCTGCCAAAGTGGTTAACTGGCTGCTCTCCCTATCCCGCCAAAGAGAGCAGGTGGCTTGATTTCCTGCAAAATGTGCTTCGTGCTGTGATCGAGATGAGCCACGTTCTCCTTCTGAGGCACGCCACCCATTGTTTCTCTTTCAGTGGTGCTGATGTGAGACATCCGGCATGTTCAGCAGAGGTAGAAATATTCCTGTTTCGCCTTTGAATATACATTTCTGTTCCTTGTACTCAGTTTTACCTTTCCCAGTGAGCGAATGATTACAGCTGATTTTATGTGAATTAAGGAAAGGTTTTCAAAGAAATGCTTACCCAAAAAAGCAGGGAGTCAGGAGCTGGGGGTGAGTGAGAAAGAGAAACCTGTTGAGCCTTCTCCAAGGACTCATTAATGGATGTCAGATCTTTTCAAAACCTGATTTTTCAAAGTCTCTTTGCTGGCTGTTGCTCTCCTCTGATTATTGCTCCCTGCCTCCTCTTCAAAGCTGCATGGATTATTATTTTGACTGCCTTGGCTAATAATACCTTGATTGCTGTCCTCCCGGTGGCTATATGTTTCTTTGGATTTCAGTCGGATCTGGGCATGTTGGTGCCTGAGTGCCAGTTCAGTTGTGTATTTTTAAAACTGTGCATAAAAAGGATTGTTTCCTTGGCACTGCTGTTTGAGAAAAACATAGACAGATTAGGAAGGGTTCAGGGGGGGGGCAAGAAGAAGAGTCAGTGATATGAAAAACAAGGCCTGTGAAATCATGTTGGGCACTGGGTTTGTTAAAATAAGATCATCCACACCCTTGTATTCCCAATCACCGTGTACAGGTGTGAAAGCTGGATAGTTAAGAAAGCTGACAGGAGGAATGTATTCGCGAAGGCTTTCACAGCCAGGATCTAATGGTTGTTGTGGGTTTTTCGGGCTCTTTCAGAACACGGCCAAAGAGCCCAAAAAACCCACAACAAACATGACAGGAGAAAGCTCATTTGTTTGAAATGTGGTGCTGGAGGAGAGCTTTGCAAATACTCTGGACTACCAGAAAGACAAACAAGCGGGTCCTAGATGAAATCAACACTGTCTGCAGGCAAAAATGTTGGAAACTGAGTCTGTCCTACTTTGGGCACCTCCTGAGAAGGCAGGAATATCTGGAAAGGTGGAAGGCAGTAGGAAAAGACAATATACGAGATGGGCTGACTCCCTAAAGCAAGTCACAGGCTTGAGTCTGCAGGAGTTGAACAGGGCTGTTGAGGACAGGATATTTTGGAGATTGATCATTCATACGGTTGCCATAAATCAGAAACAACTTGACAGCATGCCACCATCACCACATATATTTAACCTTGATAAAAGAATGAAGAGGAATAAAAAAGCATTCTTGAAGTAGCAGCAGGAATGTCCTGTGGGGGAGGGCAGGTGCTTATTCTCTGCTGTACCACGGGGCAGAAACTGATCTAACATGTTTCAATTACAGGACAGTAGGTTTCAGCTGACCTCAAAGAAGTAGCTTGACGATAATTCCAGTTACATGAGAGTACCAATTATCTGGGAGGGTGATCTCCTCCGATCAGAGAAGGCAACTTGGACAAAGCAGCTGTCTTGAAGGAAAAGCCTTGCAGCCCAATGTTGCAAATCTAAACACGGGAACTTAGTTTAGGGGGCTTACATGATTGCCTCCAGCTTTACAATTCCGTGATTTCTCCTGGGGTAAAATGGCCAGGTGCCATGAATTGTTGTTGTTGTTGATAATGATGATGATGATGATGCACTGGTCATTACACTCCAAAAACCCATGGAAACATCCAGTTGGGGTGTCAGAACATGACAAGGTCAAAATCTTTTGGGATTTCCAGATGCAAACTGATAGATACCTTGAATATAACATACTGGACATAGCAGTAGTGGAATGAAGAAAGGTCTGGATCATTGATATTGCAATTCCAGGGGATGCCAGAGTTGAAAATGAAGAATTGGAAAAACTAACAAACACAGAGATCTGGCAATCAAAAACATCTCATTATTGCCTACCATTAATTATGTAAGATGGACAGGGTCCTGGTGTTTCTGTTCAGTGTTTTAACTTGAAAATAAGGATCCCACATGGATCAGAATTGGGCAGCAGCCTATTTCTTCCTTCTCTAAGGATGAAATACAATTCGGGAAGACCTAGAGCAGTCTTAAAGTTTCTAGGTTTAAAGTACTCAGACCCAACTTCTAGTGGACCAAGAAGCTTGACCAAGGGCCACACTGGTGGTAGAGCACATAATGCCATCAACCCTGTTTTGGATGGTCTTGACTGGCCCCTCCTGTGGGAGGAACAGTCAGGATCTGAATTCCCAGCCCTTGGCTCTGCCACTGAGTGTGCCAACCCACTGAGCTATACTGACTCAACAGGTGGGCTAGTATGTGCAAAAGGCAACTGTGAATCCCGCAAAAGCTAAAATATGCCACCATGTCCCATTAAGTCACAGGACAAAAAATACCAGGTGAGGCAATATTCTTTTAATTATCTTGGGTGAAAAGACACTAATATGAATGCATTTCCTTTCCCCCCCCCTAAAGACTTTTTCGATGCCTGATGAAGAAGAGCAGAAGTCACAGATCAACAGCATCTGCCTGCTCTTCGTGGTGGTTGGATTTATATCCTTGGTCACACAATTCTTGCAGGTAATAGTAATTCTTCAGGGATTTTCTTTCCATCCTACCTACACCATTCCTAACACACTTCTTTGTTATGACCTGCTTAGATTTACATATTTTTTTTTAAAAAAATACATTTCAGGGATATACATTTGCAAAGTCTGGGGAACTGCTTACAAGGCGGTTAAGGAAAATTGGTTTCCAGGCTATGCTTGGCCAAGAAATTGGATGGTTCGATGACCATAAGAACAGCCCAGGAGCTTTGACTACCAGATTAGCAACTGATGCATCTCAAGTTCAAGGGGTAAGAGATGTTATAAAAAGGTAATATAACACATCAGGAAACACCAAATCAGCCCAAAGCTGATTTTTTGGGGGGTGGGGGTGATCAAAATGATGAGGGTTGCTGTTGGCTGATGAGATAGACCCATGAGCTACATGATGCAGTTAGCATTGGCTTGATAAGATCTAGCAGGGGTGGATTGACCGGGTGGGTCCATGAAGTGGTAAATGCCTTGTTACAGCAGGGAGTGGTGCCTTCTGCCTTGTAAGAGGCAGCAGTGCCTCATCTCCTGAAGAGGACCTCTCTGGACTCTGAGGTACACAACAACTCTTGACCCACTGCAAATATCCTCTTTTTGAAGGCAAGGTGCTTGAGTATGCGGTAACTGGGCAGCTTTAGACATTCTTAGTGGAATATGATTGTCTGGTTTCAGGCCAGGATTTGGTATTGAAATGACCTTAGTTGCCCTGACTGATGATCTCCTCTGGACTAAAGGCAGTGGGAGTGTGGCCCTGTTAATTATCTTGGACCTCTCGGCAGCTTTTGATACCATCGATCATGATCTCCTCATCAATAGGCTTTGTGGAATGGGCATGGGAGGCCCTGTAGTACATCCCTATTTTTGGACCAAGTTCCAAAGAGTGGCAGTGGGGGTCTTCTGCTCAGCCCCATGGCAATTAAGCTGAGGGCTACCACAACACTCCATTCTATCTCTCATGCTGTTTGATATCGACATGAAGCCACTGGGAGAGGTCATTAGGTGTTTCGGGGCTGGGTGCCATCAGTATGCTGATGACACTCAGCTCTACTTCTTATCATCAGGGTCAACTGAAACTGAATCCCAAGAAGATAGAGGTTCTGTCGTTTGGTGGCTCTTAGGTTACATAGGAGACTTGACTGTCTCCTGTGAAAGAGTGAAGGACTTATTAAGCCCTAAATGGCTTTGGGACCTGCATACTTGAAGGAGCACCTCTCCCTATGTAAACGTGCTGGGGAGGCTCTTTTCTGTGTCCCATTCATTACGTGGTGACATAGGGGAGGGCTTTTTCTGTCAAAGCACCCAAACTGTGGAATGCCTTCCCCTTGGAGACTTGACTGGCACTGACACTGGCATCATTTCAGTGCCAAATCAAGATGTAGGCATCTTAGCAGACTTTATGCATTATTGACTTTTTTTCACTGCAAAATTGCATCTAGCCAAAAAGTTGTGTTTGGCACAAGTCTGACCTCAGCACCACAAATTTTTGCCTGAGAATAGGATTTATCACTTTAACATGTTGAAACCTAATTTTTAAACAGTTGTTCGGCTTACAGATGCTTTGCATTAGTTAATTATACACTGCCAGGATATTTTGGTCATCAGCATGTTGAAGGTTCATTGCTAGCATTAATGCTACAATTGTCATCTTCTGTATCCCATTTCGTTTAGTCTCCCCTGCCCTTCCCCCCCCCCGAAGCCATGTACATGGTTATAAATCTGTAACAAAAATATCCCAGGTTTCTGGAAAAGTGGCTTTTAATCCAGGAAAGTTCCTACAGAAACAAATCTGTCAGCCTTAAGACTCTCTTGGGCTGCTTTTGTTTCCAGCATTTGGCTGTAGTTAAGATGGAAACTATGAACCTTCCTGAGCATTATTTCACAGAAATGTTCATGGATGGCGGCTCATTTTTTTCCCGATGCACTTTTTTCAGAAGTAGGTTGAAGTCCATGAAAATTCAAACGATAGTAGCAAACAGACCAAAAGCCCTCTGACTCCCTTTTGGGAAGACAAGCACAGCCAATGTCCCCTGGACATTCCTCACAGTCACTTTCCTTCGTCCACCATTTTGAGCTAATGATGTCTCAGTGCACCATGTGGAAGAGCCAACTGGTGATCTCTTTTTGTTTCGCTTTACCTCAAGGCAACTGGAGCCCAGATAGGGATGATTGTGAACTCTCTCACCAACATTGGGGTGGCCATTATCATCGCTTTCTACTTCAGCTGGAAGCTCAGTTTAGTCATCACCTGCTTCTTGCCTTTCTTGGCTTTATCGGGAGTGGTGCAGTCTCAAATGTTGACAGGATTTGCCTCTCAGGACAAGGAAGCAATGGAGGCTACCGGAAGGGTAAGGACTTCTTTTAAGGCTAATATAAGGTGAGGTGGTGAGTAATACCTGAAGCAGCCAGTTTCGCTGGTATGAACCAGCAATTCAGGAAATGTCACAAAAGTCTAATGTGCTTTCCCTCCCCCCCCCCAAAAAAACCCACTTCTTATATTCTGGAACAGGAAAGCCACATCAATATTCCTATCGGTCAAAGTCTCAATTGCTTGAAAGGTGACTTTCTTCTCAGGGATAACCTATACAGTACATTTATAGTCTCTTTATTTCAAGGAAACATGTGCAGGCTCGCTCAGGGATAGGACCCTCACACACACACAAACAAACAGAAGAGGACCAAACTTTCCTTCCTTGCTGCTTTCCCCATCAAGGTTCCCCTTGACAATTTTTGTCTAGTTGTGTTCGACTCTAGGAGGCAGTGCTCATCCCCATTTCCAAGCCATAGAGCCAGCGTTTGTCCGAAGACAATCTTCCGTGGTCACATGGCCAGTGCGACTTAGACACGGAACGCCGTTACCTTCCCACCGAGGTGGTCCCTATTAATCTACTCACATTTGCATGCTTTTGATCCACTAGGTGGGCGGGAGCTGGGACAAGCGATGGGCACTCACTCCGTCATGTGGATTCGATCTTACAGCTGAAGATCTACAGATCTTACAGCACAGAGGCTTCTGCGGTTTAACCCGCAGCGCCACCACGTCCCTACCATCTCCCCATGGAGGTCCTTAAAAAAGAGAAGATGTTTCCATTGGTGTCAATGAAGGCTTTGCTTTCCAAGCCCATGTGGTAGAGGTCAAGGGTGAATTTTCTGTGTATGGGCGACGGAACCGTTGAGGGGAAAATCTTAAATACTGCTTGACCATATGTGAAGGCCCTAGTTCAGATTGGGTTTGCACACATTTCTTTGTAAATGAAACCTACAAGGATCCTAAACTGTGTGCTGCTTACATAGCATTCTGCTTAACCTTCAGAAGGACTGGGAGACCTTCAGATGGTAATGTGGTCCATTTCCAGTTTCAGTGGTTTATTTCAATCAGACCTGAAAAACACGTTTAACAGTATGGAAGGCTCCTAAAGGATGAAACTCAATGCCTGTTTGTCCTATCTAGAGCAGACATATGACTAGAATGTAGGTTGGTTCTACTGTACATTCATTTCAATGGGTCTGCTCTGGGTGAGCATAAGACTGGTTTAAGGGATGGGCATCACTTAACTGTGCCTATTCTGAACCTATCTGTATTCAGGGCCTTCTCTCTCCCTTGCAAGCTCTTGTAATAATTTTCTTCAGTTTAGTGTCCACATCAAAATTCATTTAAAGATGTAAACTCATATGCAGTTGCCTGAGAATAAGTCTCATTTAGATAAATAAAACTAGCTCATTGAGTTGGAACTCCTGGTTGGAGAGCCTGGGTTCAGGAGTTCAATTCCCCACTGTGCCTCCTGGAAGAAGAGCCAGCCTGGGTGGCCTTGGGCAAGCTGCACAGTCCCAGGGCACCTCCAGAAGAAGGGAAGGGTAAACCACTTCTCAGTGCTCTCTGTCTACAAAACCCTGGAAAGGGTCACTGAAAGCTGAAAATTGACTGGATAACATGCAATTATTATTAATCAGATAAGAATAAGATTATACGATACATCTGTTCTTCCTGCAACCCCACTGCCATTTATTTCCAACGTCACTTCTTCATTTATATAATCTTGGTGGCATATTTTGAACATCCAAGATGCTCAAAAGGTCTCTTTAGTCTTTGTTTTAGTTAATTTGGCATGGCAGAATATTCAGGGCCTTCTCTCTCCCTTGCAAGCTCTTGTAATAATTTTCTTCAGTTTAGTGTCCACATCAAAATTCATTTAAAGATGTAAACTCATATGCAGTTGCCTGAGAATAAGTCTCATTTAGATAAATAAAACTAGCTCATTGAGTTGGAACTCCTGGTTGGAGAGCCTGGGTTCAGGAGTTCAATTCCCCACTGTGCCTCCTGGAAGAAGAGCCAGCCTGGGTGGCCTTGGGCAAGCTGCACAGTCCCAGGGCACCTCCAGAAGAAGGGAAGGGTAAACCACTTCTCAGTACTCTCTGTCTACAAAACCGTGGAAAGGGTCACGTAAATCATGTAATTATTAGTAATCAGATAAGAATAAGATTATACGATACATCTGTTCTTCCTGCAACCCCACTGCCATTTATTTCCAACGTCACTTCTTCATTTATATAATCTTGGTGGCATATTTTGAACATCCAAGATGCTCAAAAGGTCTCTTTAGTCTTTGTTTTAGTTAATTTGGCATGGCAGAAGCACCAGGCTAGGGAACAGTAGTCCTATCTACACTATTAAGGCACACTATCTGCAATATAGCATAATCCTGGGATGTGAATTTAGAACAATGACAGACAGTAACGTTAGATACCACTGGATTTCAGCACCTAGAGCTCACCAGGAAGAGGGATGACAAGTAAACTAGTCTGGTGCTAGTAGGATGCTCAATGAGGTGGAATGTTGTCACAACCAGTGAAATGGACCATTAACTTAGTGGCGATCATATGAGGAAATAGAATGCATTTGGGGCCACTTGTGGAGGGTCCAGTGTGATCTATTTCCTGGTGATCACATGACAAATGGGGAATTCCACTCCAGCCCAACCCTAATCTATGCCTACGCTGGATCTTTTTGGTCCAGCTATAAGGCTACTACTATCTCCCAGCAAACAGAAGGCTTGTTTTAAGGGAGATGGCTCTTTTCTGGTGCAATCGGACACAAGCCTTTCCTGCCATCTGATTGCATCCTCAATCTGCTACAACATTATCTGCTATAACGAAGTCAGCTTGGGTGGAAATAAGTCCTTATAGCAGCAGCAGCACCGGATCTTTTTGGTCCAGCTATAAGGCTACTACTATCTCCCAGCAAACAGAAGGCTTGTTTTAAGGGAGATGGCTCTTTTCTGGTGCAATCGGACACAAGCCTTTCCTGCCATCTGATTGCATCCTCAATCTGCTACAACATTATCTGCTATAACAAAGTCAGCTTGGGTGGAAATAAGTCCTTACAGCAGCAGCAGCACCTGTTCTTCCTGCCTGCCTGCCTGCCTACCTGCCTACCTGCCTTGCTTCAACATCAATCCCTTCCTTCCTTCCTTCAACATCAGCTCCTTCCTTTCTTCCTTCCTTCCAACGGGGGTGGGGGTGGGGTGAGCAGGGAGGGTCACTCCAAATACCATTTAAATGCTCTTGAAACTGACAACATTTAGCTACTCAGCCAAGACCAAATTCTGTGAAAGCCTTATGCTGGCTGCATACACCAAAAGAAAGGGGCCTGTTCACATGGGTGCTGCAACTGTTTAAGAAATGATGAAGAATAAAAACTGAACAGGTTGAGGCAATGGTGAGACTCGTTCAGAAGCTCCCCAGGTGTAAGTGTGCAGATGTTACTTTTTTGGACTCCCAGAATAACCACACAACTCACCATGTTCTGTGTGATATTCAGGGAACTATAGTCCAATAAGTAACTTTTCCAAGCAGAGTCCATACTAGCAATTAGAATAATGTTTTTTTCTAATAGAGATGGGCATGAATCCCCAGTTTAGTGGTTCATGCACATTTATTTATTGGTTGAACCAGGTTTTTTGTTGCTTCCCAGCCCTGTCTCCTTCAGAGGCAGCGCCCAGAGGAGGCAGGACAGGGAATCCGGGGTGCTACCTCTCAGTGGGTGCCCAGCGGAGAAGGTGGTGCTGGAAAGCACCAAACATCTCTTTAGCCAATAAACGAACCGGCAAAAATCATCAAACCGGTGGTTCATGCCCATCTCTATTGGAGAAAAATATTATTCTAATTCTATTCTCTTATAAAGGAAAAGTTGATGGTAGGGTACTTAATTACATTATTCCGTGGTGCATTGATGAATACAACTACTGTATGTATTAGCTCCTCTGAAGTACAGTTGACCCAGCAGGTGGAGGGCCCTAATCTTGGACTGCTTATCTGATAGCCCTTTTCTTCTCTTCCATCATTTCTGAGAACAGATTTCCAACGAAGCCCTCACAAATATCAGGACTGTGGCTGGAATTGGAAAGGAGAAAAAATTTATCGACGCCTATGAGAAAAAGCTGGAAATCCCTTACAGGGCAGCAGTCAAGAAAGCCAATGTTTACGGGGTTTGCTTCGGCTTTGCACAGTGTGTGGTGTTTGTAGCCAATTCTGTCTCTTATCGTTATGGGGGATTTTTGGTTGACAAAGAAGGACTTCACTACAGCTATGTATTTAGGTAAGAAGACTCTCTCTCACACACAGACTCATAGAAGCACATCCCTTGAAGGCTGGATAAGCAACTTCTGAGGGCTTGAGAGGGGCCACCCCTCCTGAACCCACTAGGTGCCACACCCTGCCAAAACACCAGATTTACTGCTGTTGTGATTTCCTTATTTAAGAAGGTGTCTGTGGGGGACACACACCTTGTTTTTATATTAAATAAGATTTCTGGGATCTTGTGCTTGTTTGCGGAAGAAATCATCCTTTTCCATTGCTGCTGTGATGGTATATTCAGTGGTTGTGGGTGACCTCAGGAATCATCAGGAGCCAGTGTCTACATGCAGGGAATGTATCTGTTCATTCTTCTTGTAAAACAGATTTGTGGCCACGATAGCTAAATGGCCTCATCAAAGATGGAGGGTAGTCTAACAGTATTTTAATAAATTAGATAAGGAATGGAGCCTGCATCTTAAGAGGCACGGTTCTGAATTTCACTTAGTGAGATAAACAGTGAGGGAAACCCACTGCCTTAACATCTTGCTTGTGGGCATCTTAGGTTCATCCAGCTGACTGCTGAAGGAAACAGGATTATGAATTTTAATACACTCTTTTATTTTCTAGGGTGATCTCCTGCATTGTGACCAGCGGAACTGCTTTAGGCAGAGCCTCCTCTTATACACCGAATTATGCCAAAGCAAAAATATCTGCAGCACGCTTTTTTCAGCTGGTGGATCGGATCCCCCGAATCAGTGTTTACAGTGATGCTGGAGAGAAATGGGTAAGAACAGAAATTAGTATTATTAAGGACCACATAATTGCAGCACTGGGAAGATGGAAAGGTTGTGCAGTCTGTTTTTCCAAGTCGGATTATAGTGTGCCAGGAACAGAAAAGGACAGATAAACAAGCTAAGGGCACAGAGTCTGTTCGCTAAACGGGATCCTGTTAGTTTGAACAAAGAATAATGGTCCTGGGGGAAAACAAGGCAAAATGGTGCCAGGATTGAGGGAAATTGATTAAATGAAGTTTGCAACCTACAACCATTAAAGTGGTATGACTTGGTATTCCCAACTTCCTAAATGAAAGCATGATATGTGATACTGGTTGCTGAGAACTTACCTGATACAAATTCTCCTTTAACATCTTTTATAGCCCTTTCACATCCAGATGTCTTGTCTTCTGGTCTCCCAATACTCTGTTTCATTTCTAATCCTCTATGAGGACTGACATCAGTTCTGTTAAACTTCAAAGGAGCTTTTCAGCCAAGCTGAGTTTCAAGGCAACTTATGAAAAATAAATAAGAATAAATGGTGGAGTAAAGTAAATGAGCTGCGATCATATAGACATCTACTTGTGAATCAAAGTCAAGAGGATACACTTCTTAGTAGATATACATAGCATTACACTTTTAGGAACTAATAGCATTATGAAATAGGTGACGAAATCAGAATTGCAATACAGAATGTGGCAATAAAAATAATGTATCATAGTTGCACAGTTATTCTGCAGCAGACTAAATTAACATTTGAGAAGACATTTCTAAAAATGGGGGCAGCTCAAACAAAAACTTATAACTTTGAAACAGGACTTGGGATTAGCACCACATTTGGCAAGGATATATTAGACTGTATGCTCTTGATCTGTGCCAAATTTAGAGAGGTTTAGACAAAGGGTTTTTGAGTTATGTATTTTTTTAAAGTATAATTGTTTCAATGTATTCTCAAAGGCTTTCACTGCCGGGATCTGATGGTTACTGTGGATTTTTTTGGGTCATTTGGCCATGAAGAACCCGAAAAATCCACAACAATCATAGAATTGTTTCCTTCACCCCCGTGCCGAAACAAGTGGCCCTAAATGTTCCCAGAGTTAAAACAGATCAAATAAATTGAGAAGACCAATCTTTTTTTATGTTGATAGAGGATGATTGGTCCCCACTTATTTTTCCAGGCAGTAGGAGCTGAAATATTGATCCTCAAAAAAGTCCTTTCAAACCAAGGAATGGTGACTCTTATAAACTGAGCATGCATTGAACAGGGTAACCAGCAGTAGCATTCCAAAGTAGATGCAATGTTGCAGCTTTATGGGACAGGAAGGGAGACGTTTGGAGGGCAATGAAGGTCACAGGAACAGTCAGAAGACAGATTTTCTTTGAAGAGTAAAAACTGACATACTGTACTTGCTTTAAAGAAAGTAGGGGAGTGACAGTCCTCTAGAAAGAGATGTTTTGCCATGGACCTAATGGGAATTAGTATATAGTTCTGGAAGGTATATTCGAAATATTTCTGCATTACAAAAGCTTTCAGTAAAGGTCCTCTAGAAAGAGATGTTTTGCCATGGATCTCCTGGGAATTAATATAGAGTTCTGGAAGGTATATTCGAAATATGTCTGCATTACAAAAGCACAAAGCAGTTGTGTTTGTTCAAGCCCTGATTGTGCTTTCAGTAAAAATTCTCTTAGGATTTCTGAGACCAGGCTCCTGACACAAGCCTTCAAAGGGGAAGTCAGTCCCAGGATTAGCGAAATCTGTATTTGACCCTTTCAGACAGGAACTAATTAGCTGACTTGAAAGAACTACCATTCATAAAGTGATACCAAGCAAGGGAAAACCCCAGAAGCTGACTCCTTTTTTCATCTGTTAAACATTTATCACTCACAAAGCAATTGTCATGGCTGTTTTCTGGCAAGTGTGAAAGGGAATGAGCACAAGAGGGTATCCTGTAGACCAGTGGTCCCCAACCTTGAACCACTGACTGGTTGGAGGGGTGGGGCTGTGAGTGGGGGGAGGTGCTTGCGGAGGGGCAGGGTGCTCTTGTGCACATTCGCAAAGGGGAGGGGTGCATTCGCGAGGGGCACGCTCAAGTGTATGAGCGGAGGGGTGGGGTGCATTCATGGAGGGGAAGGGCACCTGTGCATGTGGGTGGTGGGTTGTGCATGCGGGTGGGGTGCGTGGGGGGGCAGGAAATCTGTCTTCGTGGCCCAGTCCTGCCATGGCCACGGACTGGCACCGGACTGTGGACCAGGGGTTGGGGACCCCTGCTGTAGACCATCTTGACTGCTGCCATTGCCACTGTCAACATTCAGGCTGTCCTTTGCGATGTAAAGCTTAACATGCTTTTTTTCTGCTGGCAACATGAGCATGATATTGTGCAGCAATATCAGACCATGTCTTGTGTTCTGAATCATAGATACAGAAGCACAATACTTATAAACTGGAGAGTTTGAAGAATTGAATTTATTAAAGTACTGGTTTAATGAGCTGTAATTGCAGGTTCCCCTTCATTCAAGGCCCAATTATATGTTACAGATCGACTGTCACTAGAAGAGGAAATTCCTTAAGAGCTGCTTGTTACATTGGGAGCTTTTTCCTGCTTCCAAGAGTGTATAAATGAGCTTCCTTTGTTTTTGTTTTTTAATTGACCTGCAAGGCTGTAAGCCCTGTTCTTCTTTGTAATTGCTTTCTCAAACTCTGCCTCAGCAAACATTAGTGTGATTTGTGAGGGAACTTATTCTAGGAATCTTTTCAGCACCATCCTCTAGAGTAGCCTGTGCCACATGCTACAGGAGAATGGACATTCAGGAGCAGTCCTTGAGAACCATGAGCTTGGAAATGTTTTCATCTCAGGCAGAACCATAATCACAGAGACTCTAGAATGCTTCTCAAAACTCCCACATGAACATTCACTCCACTCTAATTTGTTTTTTCCAGCTGAGTAGACTGTTCACATCAAATTGTCAGCAGCTATCATATCAACTATCATATTCAGTAGTGTAAATGAAGCAAGAATTCAGATTTGTATTTCTTTTAGTATTAATCTGTGATTGTATTTTTATTATTTATTGATTTCTTTTTTTAGTCACTATGATTTCACAAAAGGGAAGTGTGCTATTTCTCTCTTCCTCCCTTCAACCCTTTACACGCACACACATACACACATGTTCTGTGGCAGATAGAACTGCCTTAAAGTATGGTTATAGAAGGGAAGGCTGTGACTACATGGGTAAAGAGTATGGGATATGTTGCAGAAATAAAATGGATGCATTAAAAAATTAACTGATCGCATGACGCAAAGGCCAATGTGAATCAGCCTGGCCATTTTTTATTCTGATGCAAAGTCCCCCCCCCCTTGCTGGAGACTTTTTCCAACCTGGAGTGATTCAAACAGGGTCCTCCCCATGTGATTAATTGTTTCATTCTCCAGAAGGACAGAAGGTGTGATATACTGTATTAAGCTTGGTGTGTTGTTTTTTTGACAGCAGGAACACCCGTTCCCGTGATCTTTCTCCCTAGTCACCCCAAAGTATTTATTGCTCTGTAAACAAACTACTCAGTTTAGCACTACATCACCTTAGCACTACGCACACCTTGATGCATCAGTTCAATGCTAGATCACCTCTGTACAGAAAAAAGAGAGGCATAAAAATCAATATGAAATAGAAACAACCATGACAAACTACCGTAGACTACTATGCTTCCATGGTATGTATGTATCTGTTTGTACATTTTGGAGAATTTTGAAAAACTATCCCCTATTCCTAATGCTTTGCTGGAAATTGGCAGAGGGCTAGATCAAAGGAAGGGGACTGTAGGCTGTAGCACAGATTAAACCTCGTCAGATTGAGAGGCCAGTGTGGACACTGGCACAGAAACAATCTGCAATCTTTGTGTGATCACCTAATCTGAACAGAAGCATAAAATAAACTGCAAATCAAGCTGTTAGTGTAGCCACACCCTACATGTCTTTTGTTTGGTGATGGAAAGAATTCTTGCTAAATTTCTTGTCTTTCTCAGTTTAGGCTGCCTTCACGGGACAAAACACCTCCATGAGAAATTGTAAAGCCCTGTGGGACTCCTGCCCCCCAAATGAGGGTGTGAGAAAAAGCCATTCAATTTATGTAAAGCTGTTAGTGATTTATATAAATTGTCTGTAGTATGCCTGCCATTGAGATGCAAGTCATGAACACAATAACTACCAAAGGAATGTATGAGAGAAAGAGACAAATAACCCTTCGTGACTGGCAGATTCTTGAACAAAGAAGCAATAATCTCAGTTTTCAACAATTTGTACAATTTGCATACTTGTGCGGATTGTAGAAATATCCACAATAACTAGGATATATTGTGCAGAAATTGTCATTTTTTTGTGCAGAACATCACTCCTGCCATGGAATTTGTCTCTTACCCCTGGGGATGTAAATTTGTCAGATGACAAATCTATGGCCTGGTAACTGAAATCACATGAATGCCAAATGTTGCTTTTGTCTTGCATTCTATTACAAACTTTTGCAAGCTAGAAACCGCAATGACAAATGACAAATACGTCATAAACACTGTTATGTCTATGGCCTGGTAACTGAAATCACATGAAGACTAAATGTTGCTTTTTGTCTTGCATTCTATTACAAATTTTTACAAGCTAGAAACCGCAATGACAAATGAATAATACGTCATAAACACTGTTATAGGTCAGCAAGGCAAACATTAATGTATTTACTGAACAACCTCACTTTTCTTTGTAATGGTGCATGTATGAGGAAGTTAGATAATAAATAGTTAGGGTAAGAATCTATAGTAGAAATCTCACATCATTTCCATTTCCTGCTTAATGTTGATTATCTAATGACAAAGATGAACATGACCAACTGAATACATACTAACTTTACATCCCTTTACGTTTCTACTCAGAACTATGTCTCACTGAGTTCAGCTTAGCGAAGTGAATCTAGTATTGCACCATAGACCAGTGACAGAGGAGTGGCTTTGCTCTGTTGCATCAAGAACAACAATGATGAAAGACTGTAAATTGGTTTAAAGGTTAACATGTAAGCTTTCGTAGTCTCCAGATGGCGAAAGTTACCTCACCCTACTCACATAGGAGTTAATAGTTTTCTTCTTCCTCTTCTTCAAACCAATTTACAGTTCAGTAGCCAATAAAGCTGTTGGAACAAGGAATTGTGTGGTCTTAATCCCTGACTGCACTGTTTTACACCAGATCAAGTTTCTGAACATTTCTTAGGGGCAACCCTGTGTCCAACGTTTTATACTAAACATTCCTGCTGTGCTCCCCATCTCTGAAATAATCTCTCACCCAAAATTCACCTGGCTGCTTTACTGGGTATTTTAAAACTATCAGTGAAAACATGGCTTTTTAGACAGGCCTTCAAGGAGCTTATAATATTACAACACAGTGGTTGTTTCAGCGTTTATATTATCAGTTCTGCCACCTTGCCTTAAAACTACTTTAAGTTATTTTTAGTTGATTCTATGTTGTTTTTTATGTATATATTTAATTTTGATTTTTTTTAACAAAATAGCTATTATATTTACTGTTCTTAAATGACTGTTTATTATGTTACAATGTTGTCAACCGTCCAGAACGGCCTTAGTAGCCAGAGGGACGATACAAAAGTCAAATAAATTAATTTTAATTTTAATTCTGTCGTTTAAAGACCAAAAATAAATATTTGAAGTGGCCTCTAGAATAGTACTTTTAACAATCAGTCATGCCAAAAATACAATAAGATTAATAGTCATTGTGTTATTTTTAAAAGTAATGGCATGGTAACACAGCTACAAGAAAATTGTAGGTTACAGGTAAGTAACATCTTCTAGGTATCATCATTACTTGAATACATTACTTCCAACGACTGACGATATTGAAAAAGACACTTAAATGTGTTTGTTCTTTTTGATTTGCATGTGAAGTCAGTTTGAGTTTCATAATAAAATTGTTCTGCCATTCCTTCCAATAGAAGAATCACATGAGACAACAATGTTGACAGTGATGCTCTCTGTTAAAGTTAATGTTTTGTGTATATTTTAAACTTGTATCTTACATATTGGCCAAAATCCTGTTGATGTAAGTTTGAGCAGTGTAATCCAGACGGGTGCTGGATGTATTTAATTTAAGGTACTTAAAAATGTCCTATCCTCCTCCTTTGAGGTTCAAAGACTCTCTTTTGCCCTCGGGAAGACTTTGGGAACCTTGAGACAGGATGGGAAGCTTTTAATCATTTTTTAAAAAATCACAATTGAATTTCCACCAGTGGGATTGGGAACTGCCCGTGGAGATCTGATGGCAATTTTTTTTTACTATTAGTAGCTCCCCCATTCCAAGACTCCTAGAAGCTTTCTCGGGGCAAAAGAGAACCTCAGAACGTAACGGGGGGGAGATAGGAAGCTTTTAATTATTTTTAAATTAAACACTTCCTGAATCTAATCTTTGTTACAGTACGGAAAGTAAGACCAACAGAATTTTGCCCACTGTTTTCCTTTTTTTTATTTTTATTTTTTAACATAAGGGGTGACAGAAAGGAAAAAGGGAATTGGAATTAATGAGGAAGAGGAGAGACAATAACATACCAACATCCATTCTATACCTATTGCCATATCAAGATTTTAAGTTATTCTGTTTACTCTTTTCTGCCTTATAGATTGAGTTCTCATTTCAATATATGCTATTTACGCGCTGCCTGTTAATTCAGTCCACTTGTTGAATAGATCCCATCTTTCTGTTGCCTTTTGCAAGGGATAGTCCTTCATGACTTCTGATAGAATATCCATTTCTGCCATTTCCCGTATTTTTTCAATAAGATCTTCTTGTTTCGGTACTGTTGGACCTTTCCAATTTTTAGCATATAGAGTTCTGGCTGCCATAACAATATATATAACTATATGTTCCTTTGACTTATCTATGTTATCAGGTATCATACTCAGTAAAAACAGTTCTGGGGTTAAAGGCACCTTACAGAGCAATATTTGTTGCAACATGGCATGCCCACTGTTTTCCTAATAGTTGAACTAATTTAGTTTTGCAACTTTCTTTGGGAGGCCGAGTTGTTCCAGGACACAGAAATATCGTAAGGGTCTTTTTTCTTCTTACCACCAAGTATTTACTTTTTTGTTTATTAAGCTGTATCTCACAGTAAAAGTAAATTCTCTTCTCCTTCCAGATTTGCTAAAAAGGCTTCTTTACGAAGATTTGCTCCTTATGAACTGACTTCAGTTTTGCCTATTTCGTAGTCAAAAGGAATTGCTTGTGACCGCTGTAAGATCAGTAGCAGTTTTGAAAGAATTCTTTTGGAACTTCATTTGACCCACACATTTCTCTCTGTCTTTGTATGATCAGAAACATTTCCAAGGAAGCATTGAATTCCGGAACTGTACCTTCAGATACCCTTCTCGGCCTGATGTCCAAGTACTAAACCATCTTTCAGTAGCAGTGAAATCGGGGCAGACCCTTGCCTTCGTTGGAAGCAGCGGCTGCGGCAAGAGTACCAGCGTTCAGCTTCTGGAAAGGTTTTATGATCCGGAGGAAGGAGAAGTGGCAAGTAGTCTTCCTTACTTTGGTGTTAGTATGGGACAACCAATCTGAGTTCAACCATTCTCAACCATTCTCCATAGATTTTTGCAATTAGCATTTGAAAATTGGGATTGACTATAAAAATAATAGAGCAGTTCACAATCCAATGAACTATACATCTACCTTCAAATAATGAAGGAAAACAAGACACTTGTCCTGCAGTTTCTCTTCCAACATGAATTTTAACCAACATTTGGAAAAGCTTTCTTTCTTTCTTTCTTTCTCTTTCTTTCTTTCTTTCTCTTTCTTTCTTTCTTTCTCTTTCTTTCTTTCTTTCTCTTTCTTTCTTTCTTTCTCTTTCTTTCTTTCTTTCTCTTTCTTTCTTTCTTTCTCTTTCTTTCTTTCTTTCTCTTTCTTTCTTTCTTTCTCTTTCTTTCTTTCTTTCTCTTTCTTTCTTTCTTTCTCTTTCTTTCTTTCTTTCTCTTTCTTTCTTTCTTTCTTTCTTTGAATTGAGATTCCCCAAAATACATGACAGGTTCTTGTGGATGTTGTTTTTTGATGGATAACTGTGCAGGTGCTTATTGATAAAAGTTGTTATTTTTGTGGCCTACAGCTTTTAGAATAATAAAAAAAAGCTACAGTATAATAACCAAGAGGCTATGAAATACCCAAGAGGTTATCAAATTTGTAAAATGTAAAAGCAAAGGAAAATGCCATAGCGCTTAAGGCACTCTTTGGGCACTTTACAATTTAATTATGCTGGCTAGACATTGCTTGCCACACCCCACCCCAGAATAATAGGGCACTCAATGTACTGACCTGAGAAGGATGGAAGGCTGAGTCAACCTTGAACCAGCTACTTGAGCCCAGCAGGATCAAACTCAGGTCGTGAGCAGAGTCTTGACTGCAGCACTGCAGTTTTTAACCACTGCACCACAAGGCTCCTTAAGAATAGATATGTGTACAAGTCATCATTGCAAGCAGCCATCACAGATATTTGTTACTGAGAAAGCACTAAGTAAACACACTCCACTGAATAACATACTTGGGTTGACTTCAAATGAACCATTCTGGAGAATCCATCCAGTCATCCAGAATCTTATATCCAAACAGCAGCTGATACAAGTTTATTGCACAGATTTTGCAAAATGAAGTGTTTATCTGAATGTATCATTACTCGTTCTATTTTTGATATTTAGGCTGAATTACACTGCTTTGGCAGCCAAAGAAGAGCCTCGTGGCGCAGTGGTTAAAACACTGTATTGCAGCTAAAACTGTGCTCACGACCTGGGGTTCAAATCCCAGGTAGCCGGCTCAAGGTTGACTCAGCCTTCCATCCTTCCGAGGTCGGTAAAATGAGTACCCAGCTTGCTGGGGAGGCAATGTGTAGCCTGTAGTTTATCTGAATGTATCATTACTCGTTCTATTTTTGATATTTAGGCTGAATTGCACTGCTTTGGCAGCCAAACTGGCGCACACGCACACCTGTAAAAGGAGAAGGTATTAGCACACTTGCAGATGGGAAGGGAATCCCAAGGTTTACAGAAATACAAAAATCCTGGGAGAGAAAAAGGTTTGGGACGGGCATCACTGATCCACTGATTAACTCATTCAAGGTCTGAAAATATAAAAAATATTAAAAGAAAAAAATCCTGAAAACATTATTTTCACATGGATTATCAGAACCAAACACTAGAGGGAGCCAGAGGTCATGCTATGAATGCTTATTAGTGAAGAATACACAACATGTTCTCTGGTACATTCTAGTGGCCATTTCTGGTAATGCATGTGGAAAAAATCTGGGCTTTTTTAACACACAGAGAAAGAGAGAGATTGCTATTTTCCAGTTTTCAGTATCCACAAGTGACTTGGAAACAAGTGGATATGGGGGTCCTACTGTATATGATACATAGGGGAGTCCAGTGAGCTGTTCACACCCTTTATTTAGAACTAATTCCAATTCTGTTCCTGAAGAACAAGGGGGTTATATTCTTAACACACTTGCCTGAAAGTAATGAAAAGCAAATAAGCGCAATATATGCTGATCTTCCCATTTTGGTCCAGAAATTTGCCTGAAAGTAATGAAAAGCAAATAAGCACAATATATGCTGATCTTCCCATTTGGGTCCAGAAATAACGATTGAATGTTTTGTATTTTGCATCTGCAGTTGATAGATGGACATGACACCAAGAAAGTAAACATCCCGTTCCTCAGATCTAAGATTGGAATTGTGTCTCAAGAGCCTGTCCTCTTTGGATGTAGTATTGCTGACAATATTAAATATGGTGATAACACCAGAGAAGTTCCTATGGAAGATGTGGTGGCAGCAGCTAAGAAAGCCCAGCTGCACGAATTCGTCATGACGCTTCCTGACGTAAGCATCTAGAGCCATGTCTGGTTCTGAAAAGGGAATGTTGAGTAGAAACAAGGGACGTAGCTACGAACTACAGAACCCATATACAGTAGCATCTTATGATCTGTTATAGATTTGCTAGGCAGCAGCGTCTGTCACATCATAGGGCCCTGGTGAACAGCTAGTTTGGCCTAAAAACAGGAGTCACCCGGAGCAGAAACACACGTTATAGATAGCCTCTGATTAGAAGAGGATATTCTTTAACTGCTGAAAGTCTCAGAGTGCGCAGCAGGAAACTTTTCTCACTTCTCCTAATTTAAAAATTAGCATGATTGGTTATCAGCACATAAGCAGTAGAATCCTTTGCAGTTTGAGTTACCTCACATAAAAGGCTATCTCAGAGCCAAAACACAGGCTGAAAGCAATCCATCATTCTTGAGCTTATAGCTTTTTCTTCCCAGCAGTGTAATCTTCTTTACTATGCACTGTTCCCATGATCAACTATGTAAATGAAGCAATAATTTATATTCCAGCGATAATCCTGATGGCGCATACTCTTCCTTTTAAGGTGTTTTATCACATCTCTTTCTCCACTCGAGAGAACATTTGTATTCTTGTAGATACAGATGCTTTGTCTCATCTACTGGAAGCCTCCGTCAACATGTCTCCAACATATACATTGTTCCATCGCTAATTAGAGGGTATTTATGTTTGGTTCCAACCCCATTCAGATGCCTACATGTTCGTTAGCCTTATGCTACTCACCATCTCACATGCGCTGGTGGCAAAAAGCTGGACTAGGTTAGGGTGGGCATCATGCACCCCCACAAGCAAATTTATATGCTTTCCCAAAGAATCCTCCAAATATTCCTTTAAAACACACACACAGCGCAACCACCACAAAACAGACCCCCTCACCCCAACCCTGATTGCTGGAACTAGATTGTTGCTTTTCAGTACTGTATAAGAAGCAACATGAGTACCAGTCATTGGCAATATGATCTGGGAATTATTTATGATCATAGTCAAAATGATATATGTTGATTGTTTCATTTCTGTGCATTGATTGCTTGATTGATTGATTGATTGCTTGATTGATTGATTGATTGATTGATTGATTGATTGATTGACTGACTGACTGACTGACTGACTGACTGACTGATTGAAAAAAATATTCTGTGGAATGTATCTGTGGAGATTCTCAGTCATCCAGGTGAGGTAATCTGGAAGTTGAGTCATGACAACTTTCTTCCTTATTAAGTTCAACAGTTTCTCAGCTCATCCAAGTAGAGATGCAGACAACAGAACCTCACCCTGACAAGCCTATGCCTGTGTTCTACTGTAAGAAGCCAACGGGGCAACAAAATCCTTCAGAAGGCACAAGAACAGCTGCTTAATGAAAAGATCAGACCGGCCCACTTCATCATAGACACTTTGAAACACAGAGTAGGCCACCTTCACCAAGAACTGCTTTCCACACTACCCAAACCAACACCGGATGCAGTCCTAGATTTTGTCCACAAAGCACAACTGGCCCAGCACTTCAAAGGCAAAGAGAGGCAAGAAATTTGATACCATTATCTTCCGAAAGAGAGGCAAACCAAGAAATTTGATACCATTATCTTCCAAAAACCGTCAGCAGAGGAACTCGACAAGCAGAAGGATGATGAGGTGACTCCAGCAGAGGACACAAAGGACAAATGGTTGAGACAGGGAACTCACTCACTCAGAGAGGGAGGTCTTAGCCAAAGGCCTAAATTTTGCCATCACACCCAAACAGATTCCAGTTGTGGACTTCATTACAGCCACAGAATCGGCTATCCAGAACAACAATCTACCAGTGGCAGAAGCAGAACAACCCCAGATAAAAGTTTCTGCAGCACTTTCCAGTGCTCAGCCGGCCCCATCCAACCTCACCAGACAGGAAAGAAGTGCTCTGACATCCCTCAGCAGGGATGAGACCATCACCATACTGCCGGCGGACAAAGGAAGATGCACTGTTGTCCTGAACACTGCAGATTACCATATAAAAGTAAGCTCACTTTTGGAAGACCAACAGACATACGAAAAACTGAAAAGGGACCCCACCATCATTTACAGGAGAAAGGGGATAGAATGCTTGAAACACTTGGAAAAGGACCCTGCCATGGACAGGGCGACCTACCTCCAGTTGTATCCTGGAGAGCCCACACACACACACACACACACACACTTTATGGGCTTCCCAAGATACACAAGGAAGGAGCCCCCCTCAGACCCATCGTCAGCAGCATAAACTTGGCAACATACAACATTGCTAAATACTTGGCCACCATCTTAGCTCCATTGGTTGGACACTCGGACCACCACTTTCACAACTCAGAGGAGTTTGCATCCAAGGTCTTTGATGACCAAGATGTTCTCATTTTGGACCAAGAAGATAGGTGGTTTGAGAGAGAGGTCAGGGAGTTCATACATGTGCATATAGAAATAGCTCACTCAACAGGGATGGAGGCCTTAGACACAATCTGTCTCCTATTTATCATGCTGACCCTGTTTATATACTCTCCTACCACCTCACAGACTGAAGAAAAAGCTACTTGGAGTAGCAAAACGTTTCAACTTCATAAAGAAGAAATCCAGTTGCCATGACTCAACTTCCAGATGTTCTGTGGAATATGACTTCCAGTGCAGGCCTGTACAGGTCTGCTCAAAAGTAAGCCCCACTGAGGATTCTCCTGAATGGTTTAGCATTCAGCTCTAATGTCCTGCTTTTATTTTCACTGACTTTTAAATACTTCCTATGCTAATAATCTGAGGAATCTTGACTATAAACATAGCAGTTTATTATCTCTTCCCCTCTTGGCCAACAAATATGGAGCAAAGGACAATTATTTTCTAATCACACAATTTGTTCATATCAGCAGTAAATGAACAACCAAGATCTTCTGTGGTTCATGCTCCACCACAACCAACCCTGGCCCAACATCAGCATCATAACTCTCTTCCTGTTGTGATATTGACCGTCAGTTATAATTCAGACATACATATCTTCCAGAAATATGAAACTAACGTTGGAGCTCAGGGAGCGCTCCTCTCTCGTGGTCAAAAGCAGCGCATTGCTATAGCCCGTGCCATTGTCCGAGATCCTAAGATCTTGTTGCTGGATGAAGCAACATCTGCATTGGATACAGAAAGCGAAAAGGTAAATACGCATGGACAGAAACACACTTGGATTAAAAATCATGGCGCAAGTAGAGTAATATTTTCTTCTCAGAGCAGGCAACCTGGTTTATGCTTGAATGCTATTCCATTAATGGCGGTAGCACCAGCCCATCAGAGATGGAGCACTGCAAGCAGAACCTTCTTATCAACTTCCTTTGCTGATAAGATGTTCACGCTACTTTAACCTATTACAACAATATTGTTATATTTCCAGTATTTCTTTGACAAAGACAGTGATTCACCTTTATGATTTATGCAGGCTGCTCTGTATATGACTCCATGTTTCCTTTAATTCCCTTCCAATCTCCTAATCCCTGCTTCAATGCATCTGCAGATCGCTTAATCACTCTGTTGTCATCAGACAACATGCTGGTGATATTTCAATGCACCTCTGCCAACGAGGTGGAGGAAGCTTCCAGGCATGGCAATGGTTGAAAGCTTGAGCATGATAATGTCTGGCATTTTTCTTGAGCAGGCCTGCATCTCAGCAGCTCTTCCAAGGGAAGGCAGAAGCCTCCATCAGATTTCCCCCCCCCCTTTTCCATGCTGAGACCCAAGGCCTACTTTCTACATTATCCTTGCTCTCTGGTTGCTTAGCAAAGCCATTTACCTGTGACTGACTTTCCACACCATACAGTGAGACCTTATCTGTCCATAAACACAAGATGGATGGAGGAGGAGCAGGCCCCGGTTGCCCGATGGCCTGACTGTGCCTATAGAGCCCAGCATTTATAGTGTCCCATGTACCTCTTTAGCTAAGGACCGGCCTTGCCATTGTTAGAGGGAGTTTTTGAACGACGGCAGCAGATTTGGGGTGTCACGAAAGTACAGCAAATTGTTCATTATTTGAATGATCGTTGCTACTTGAACAATCTGTTTTTCCTGCCAGAGAGAAAAACCTGTTGGGTTTTCTGTCAGGAAGGCCACAATAACCTGGCTGGCCTGGGATAAAGATACACCTTGATTTAGGAAACGGGGTGCCATTTTCTGTTCTACTTTAGACAGCTAAATGTCTTGGTCCAACCCAGAAGAGAACAGAAGGAGACTGAGCATGTGGATGGGCAGTAAAGTCCTCTTCCTCTCCTTCACTGAATTTGGGGAGAGGGTCTTTGACTAGACTGAGTGCACTACTGTATTTCAATGTATGCGCATACATAATTCGGCTTCATATATATTGATTCTGATGATCAATATACATGAAAGGCAGTTAACAGTTCCTTCCCAAGCTACTTGCAGTTTTCCAACTCTGGACTTTTTTCTTCCTTGTCTCCAGACTGTGCAAGCTGCACTGGATAAAGCTCGAGAAGGCCGAACCTGCATCGTCATAGCACACCGCTTGTCTACCATTCAGAATTCAGATATTATAGCTGTCATGTCACAAGGAGTCATCATTGAAAAGGGCACTCATGAAGAGCTGATGGCCCAAGAAGGAGCATACTATAAACTCGTCACCACTGGCGCCCCAATTAGTTGAGCTTTCCCGCTCACATGGCGGAGAACATTTTCTAAGAGAATACACTAAAGACCAGTACGAACACATCAGCAGTTTTTACATTACACAAAGATCGCTGTGCTGTTATACAATAATGTACTTTAACATAGTTGAAAATGTGTCAGGCAGGGACGGAAGTCCTCTTTAGTCATGCCACTGCACGTTTGATGAGGAGAAGCAACATATACTAGGAAGCAGTGATACGACAGGGAGACTACCCAGAACTGTTTTTAAAAATCAGGTAGGTGCCAGTTCCATGAAGACGTCTTGGGCCTTGATTGTCAGCCTCCAATTTCAGCTAATTAAGCAACTACAGACCCACAATCCTAAATCCAGAGTGACAGTTACTCTTGATATTGACACTCTGGGCAAATAGTGACATCTATCCAGCCACCTGTCCCTGTGTTACTGAATTCAACAGTTGTCACTTTAAAAATGTATTTGACGGGGTAATGTGGAAATTTCCAAGGCTTTGTACAGACTTTATGTGAAGGAAACCTTGTAAGCTATCCCCGTTAAAAAAAAAATGACTGACTGCTCTGAATTTGCTGTTTTGTATATCGCACTGAAGGCAAGTTGGGCAAGTTATAATATGCAGGACAAGGGAAATATTGTGTGCAACCAATTTGCATGTGCAGCCAATCATGTCCATCCCATTGAATGGGCAGTTTTCGTGTTGGGTTAGGGATTGCTTTCCTGCTGAAGGCCAGTAGGCACATATAACTACAACTAGATGGCTCCTGCATGACTCTTGCAAGAAACCCGTTTCCAAGACTCTGGAGTACAAGCAGGAATGGAGCAAGAATGCAATGGGCAACATAGCCAGGCTGCACTTGAGCAGGACTAGGGACTGTGTGGTCCTCCAGAACATTCTAGATTGGAACTCCTACAAGCTGATAGTGTTAGGATTATTTAGTGACTATACTGATTGTGGCTTTCAAGTAGGAATAATGATTCTGAAAATAGGTATTAAAAGAAAAAAGGAAATTTTAAAAAATTGTGTGTTAGGAAATCCTTTTATGGACAGAACAGGGGAACATGATCCCTAAATTTATTTACAGAAGACCCTAGTGCTGGCTTGCAAGGTCTGTTGACAGCCATAATGGAGTCCATATCTCTCTTGCAAGGCTAGCACGAAACAGGAAATGATCTCAGAGAAAAGGAACAATGAACTGTAAGGCCCAACTTTATGTTACAGAGGACCCATGAGTAGAAGAATTAACTTCTAGATGTACTTATTGGGATAACTACGCTTGTCACAGCATAAGTCTAAAGTCTGGTTTGTCCCCCAAATATAGCACTTTGACGAACATCTAATAAACAAATCAGAGTGTAATCTTTCAAATACTTCTGAGCATTTTAGGGAAGGGTCTTTCTGCTTAGTCTTTCTAACTGAGATCCCTGGTTGGACATTTGCCAAGGACTGACCCTCAATACATGAAAAGTGTGCAGACTAAACGTTCCTCTCTAATGGTAGTTTTGACTGGTTTTCCCAAACAGGAAAAACACACAAACAAACAGCTCTTTACATAGTCATGTCCATGACAAAAGGATGTGTTACAGTCACTGAGTTTTCTCAAGACAACCGCAACAACAAAACACAACATAAGCACCCAGGTTAGGGTTATGGACCTGCAGAAAACTGCCAATCAGTCATTATAGGGGATGTTAAATAAAGGAGAAATGGGGGTAAGGTGGTAAATTTGGAGTTGCAGACATTCAGAATGATTCTGTCCTTAGCCACACCCCCAAAGAGGCTCCATGTGGCTCCTATGCTGAGCCAGGCCTGTTCTGCTGCCCCAGAGGAGGCCAACATTGGCGCCACCAGGTGGCTTGTCTATTCTGTAGAGAGAGAAAATATACCAGCACTGCCTGGAAAACTACTGATACAGAGAAATTCACTCTCATATCCCTAAGCCCTCTGAAGCAGGGAGGTTGCAGTGTCCCTGCAACAGTGGGAAGCCTAACCTCACTGAAAAGCTATGCTGAAAATAGTGAAATGCCTGCATTACGCTTCAGTGCAGAAACGAAACTAACAAGAGGACTGTGGAAGAGACCCTTTATTCCCTCAACCCCCTAGCTGGCCTACAGGCTACTTGCATAAAAATACATGCTTTTGTTAATGTGAGCGATGTCATTTTGAATCCTTGCTGTTTTGTGTCTTTTCTTGAAACACTGCTACTGAGCCATTAAAGGAATATCAGAAGTGGAAATTGCCAGACTGGATGAGACCAGGTTCATTGTAACAATGGTGTCTAGTCAAATGTTTCTGCAAGCTTACAGAAAGGGCAACAACCCTCACCCTGCTTCCTTCGCAGCTGGCATTCAGAGATGTCATATCGCTGATTTTGGAGAACATTATGAGAATCTACATCCCAGATTTATATGAAAGTGATACGATACTGGCATCCTTCCTGGTTTGTTACAATCATCAGTGATTTCAACAGTGTGCTATTTGGACAGCTGGAAATTTTTGCTGCAATTTCTGTCACTTTATTCTTAAACGCTGAAACTAATTGGGATTTTCATGCCCATTTATTCCTTGCATTTTTGCCTACCTTCTTGTCGGCCCTTTACTCCCAATGGTTCTGGGGGAGAAAAAAAATTTTCTTTTCTTTACAAGTTTGTGTTCTACAGAACAGATCTCTCTAGGCCGACGAACCAGGCGGGAATGTCCCCTGTCCAGTTTGCTTTAGTTATTGAATTATTGCCAAATGCTATCGGAGCAGAGATTTTTAGGTATGGACACCACAGATGGAGTTAAGATTAGTTTATTCACAGTTAATAATAGAGAATCCTTTGGAAGTTGTAGAGAGGATCAAATTACATTTAAAAGGATTGAGAAAGGGTTGCAGATAAATTGATGTAACTCAGAAAAACTGGGTTTAAATTGTAATAAAGAGGAAGAAGTTTTTTTTTTAAAAAAGTATTAACATTCAAAAGACTATTGGGGATTTAGGTATAAATATTCCTAGTAATTTGAAAAGACTGAAATAAGAGAATATTAATTTATTGAAAGAGGTAATTATAAAGAAGCAAGCTGACTGAAGGAAAATTGGGTTGTCGTGGTTTGGCAGAATTACAGCCTGTAGAATGAAGACATTGCTTTAGATCAATTTTCTATTAATCATGCTACGAATAAAAATTAAGGCAAAAGAGTTAAAGGTCTGGCAAAATATGATTAATACATTTTGTAGTGGAGATAGTAAATCAAGGATTAATAAGAAGAGGTGGTATAAATCCCAAAAAAGTGAAGGTTTAGCACCACCTAATTTAAGATATTAGTCAATCAATTAAGAGATATATCAGGTGTTATATCTCAGCCCAATAAATTAATCTGGCAACAATTACATTTAAACTTGGTATTCTCTTCTTACAAAACATTAAAAATGTAATAAAAAAAAGAAAATCATTTTCTTAATAATGTGTTAGCATTAGGGAATAAATATAGAAAATTTATTTTTCTACCAGTATTTCCGTTATGTCTAATGACAGAGCTGGGGGAAAAATCCAAGAAAATTTAAAAAGACCAATTAAAAATTGTTTGATAAAGATATGAGTGATTAGGTTAAAGGATTGGCTAGGAAGAAAATTGGGGAGTAAAGAAGAAACAAAAGAAGTGTCAGGCAAACATGAAATATCTTGGCACAATGTTATTCCATTAGAACAGCAGACAAGGAATTGGATAAAAAGAAATGGTACATGTAGGAAAGTTATAAAATATGGAGGAATTATTCTACAGAAGGAACCTCTAGGAGAGGAGAGAAGGAGACAGTAAGTAAAATGTATAACTTATTATTAGAAGAAGAGCATGAAGATTTATTTACAGTGTTATGGGAATGTGATCTGGGGGGAAGAACTAAGCTCTAAGTGCCTGGAAAATATGTGGACTATTAGAATATTGAGCTCTGTGTCAATAAGGATAACAATGAGTTTTTAGCTGTGGAAGGGGTTGCTGTGTTAATCTGTGCAAGCATTATAGGTGAAAACAGAATAAAAATATGAAGTAAAAAAGGACAAAAACATGTCCCTCTAGATAAAAGTCATTTGATATGACGTATGCAAAAATAAATTCACAAGCCCACTTTTTAATTTTTTTGACCGTTCCCTTGAAAACATCCCTGCTGTCAAAAAATTAAGTTACATTGATTTGAATGGAATTTAAAAACTAGAATTCCCCCGTGCACCTGTTAGCAGTTTACAGAGAACCTTGTCAACAGGAAAAGAATAACCAGGCCTGCAAAGGGCACAACGTAAACAGTATTGCCTTACAAGCGCAGTTCGGAGTTAGACCTTTTTTGCATTCCAAATTGAATTTATCAGATGCCCTTCCAACACCTTCAACACTTGTTAAGCTTCAGTTATTCATGTAGGAGGAGAGTATCAGAATTATTTATGAAAATTCATACAGACTTTTACACCAAGCAAGGGAGGAGTTGGGCGTGGGGGAGGGGAAATAAAGGGCCGAGCTATAATTACAGATAACCCATTATTAGAAGGTGAAATCTGTCAGTGTTCCAGAGATGTGACTCATGGAGACCATCAGGACTGAGCAGTCTTGCCTGCAAATCAAGATGGTGGTTACTTCTGAACAACCAGTCCAATACACACACACCCCAAAAAAAACAAGCAACATAGTTATGCACTCCCTGAATAGGAGAAACAGTGTCTTTTCTGACTAGGAAATACTTAACTCATTGTTACAATATTCTAATCTTTTTCTAAACAGTCACAGAATAGAAAAGCCCATTATATAAATATATCAGTGTAAAAGTTCAGGAGCAATCCAAATGAGCAATGTATCTATAAAGGTAAAGGTTCCCCTTGACAATTTTTGTCCAGTCGTACAAATAAGCAATTTTATAGTATGTATAGCAGAACAATTTATATAAGGGACTTTATACTACAAAAGTCTGAAGTGGATCTTTCCTAATGTTTTTATTACAGATGTTGAATAAATGAAACGAAGAAACACAGGATATTTGGGCTCCAATCACATCAACCTGACAAATTCACTGGCTACACTTTCTTTTGCACATCTAGTTTTCTATATCTGCCAGTTCCTCTGTCTAGAAAAGTAGATTAACGGCAGGAATCTTCCCTGGAGTTAGTGACAAAGAATAGATATCAGAAATATGGTTATTCAAGATGAGTTGTAGACAGAGGGGAGACCACTGATAGAAATACACGTACATAAATTCCCTCTGTAACACTGATCCAACTGGTAACCCTGGACATGAGGGCTTAAAAGGAGTAAATTAAGTAGTCACGGATGCTAATCTACCTGAGAGAAATGTTTAATGTATAAACGGCATTGCTATTTTTATATCAAGAATGTACAGTTCAGTGCTGGAGAGAACATAATATATAGAGGATTTTTTAAAAATTAAAACAGCAACCTGTCAAGGGAAAATAAATGTGTAATAAGTGTAAATAAACCTGAGAAAGAAAGAAAGAAAAAGTAATCACTCCATAACTAATGACTTCTACTTATATTCTCAGGAGAGGGGAGAATGCATTTTACAGGTAATTGCCCTTCAACTTATTAGATGAGGATGAAGATGATATGAACATGCTATTACATGTTCATCATCCATTTCCAAATGAATGATGTTTTTGTGCGTAAAAAGCCTTCTGGCACCTTTAAAGTCTACTAACCGGTATTCAGCCATTACATTTCAGGGACGATAGTCCAATTCTTCAGATGGATTACAGTCCATAAAAACATGTGCCAAAAACCACATGTATTCATCTGTAAGATGGCAAAAGACTTCTCCTTGATTTTCCTATACAACAAACTAACACTGCTATACTCTTGGAAACTGAACATCTACAAAAATGATTGAGAAGGGCCCAGTGTCACAGAGTGATGCAAAATTTTCTACAGTCAGACAGATACGCATATAGTATAAAACATTTATTGCTCTACAAATTTGACATTGGTATGCATTTCCTACAAAATAGGGGGTTCAAAATCAATGATTTCCAGATTACCCAGAAACCCAGAGTTTGGCACACTCGTATACCAATACATATTAATTACTAGAGATATATGAAAGGCATTAACAGCACAGTCTTACACATATCTATCAAGAAGTGAGTCCTTCCAAATTCAGTTACGGTACATTTTTGCCCAGGTACGTGAGATCAGGACTCCAACCAGTCTCTTTATTGGATTAAGGCAGAAGTTTACCCTCTAAAGGCTGTGTTACTTTTCGGAACCCTGGATAGCTGAGATTTGGCACATATGCAGCACACCAAACAATGATTAATAGCAATCTGTTAAAATGGGACATTCTCGCATCTAAAAATTTTGACTAAATGGAATTGCTAATCTCAGCTAGACTAGATTAATTGAATCAGTAGCTGAATGGTAAGCCAACACATAAGTAAATCCCACAAATGCAATGGGGTCACTCCAAGGTTCCCTCTAATTTTCAGCCCCGCTGGGCGAGGCTCCACCCTGCACATCTCTGCCCCCTATGTATGACTCTGCCCACACGTAGGGTTCTGCCACAACCAGAACCAAGGAGGCTGGAAATACTTCCTGTGGGTGCACAGAGGAGGAGGAACGCTGCATGGAGGGGGGCACAGCACTGCACGCTTGTGCAGCTGCGCACTTTAGAGGGAATGTTGATCCATTCTAGTTAGAATTAACAACTGGATTCAGGCCATGAAGTTTACCTCAGAATAGAGGTGAACATTCCCACACAGAAGAAACCAAGCCACGGCCATGGTGAATATCTCTGTGAGAGAGGGAAGTCAAGTTTAGAAGCAGCCTCAAACAAAGCTCAATGCTCGCAAAATGCAAATTTCATTTACTAGTAACTGTACATATATACATATATACATAAACATAACATGTAGTACTGAATAAAGCTATATTTTTCCTACGTTTTGAAAGAAGAGTGGGTGGTAAAGCACCGTTCAGCTGCAGATTGGCAGGTGTGGAAAAGTCCAGTGAGGTTTGACAACCAATACTCATATCTAAAACCTTCCACAGATACTGAAAAACCCAGATAGCTATGTCTCAAAATTACAATTTTAAAAAATATTTGGAGAATTAAATTGACATCCTAACCTATCAGTCCTTCCTCCCCCCCCCCATTTTCTTCTTGTTCGATATATAAGGACCCCAGTCTTGGACGTAAATGTCTTTTTTAAATTTTAAAAACCAGTAATGCACCCTCGGTTGCTCAGAATGGGGGAAAAACAAGATAACATTCCAAGCTTTCAGTCACAGAACACCCTTGATGTCCGAAGATGCGCCATACCAAATTCACCATCACATCTATGGAAGCTTCTTTTCTCTTGACTTCATCAACGAGTGTATGCAGTAGGGAACCAAAGCCACGACAGTAAGAGGGATGGCTGCACTTTTACAGAAAGAAAGGGTGTAAAATAAATACTCGGTATGGGTGGGTATCTTGATAAAGTCATAGAGTTGCAGTGTTGCCAAGGAAGTGGCTATGCAGAATACCTTGAAACTGGTCTTATAGCCATGTTTACCTCTACAGCTTGTGACGAACATGTCAGAGTTAAGGCTGAGACCTAGCCCAAACAGGGCACCTAAGTTTCTCACCAGTCCAGCAAATGGAGTTGTGTCAATATTAATCCACTCTGGATTGGCACACCATTTCTTTGCCTTTGGGACAGACCAGAGAAGATCAATGTCAATAAGCTTGAGAACCAGATACAAGCCAAGAGCAGAAACAAAGAGCAACACATTGGTCTGGATGTAGGTTTTCAAACTTGCGCTCTGTATGGCTGGGGCATGTTCAAATGCTTCTGCGACGAGCATGCCTGTGAATGGGAAACAAGACAAGAAAAGAGGTCGGGTTACATAGATCGGGTTTCAAAGTTAGCTTTGAAACCAGGGAGAGCATTGGACTGATCTTAGAAGTCACATGAAATGTATTCCTCCATAAATAGCAGTAAGTAGGATAGAATATAACATAATATTCTGTAACATGTGCACAGTCCTGAAGAGCTGGATTTTTCCAGATTTTATCCAGTGGCATCCTTCCAGTAGCAGAACAGACGTCTCTGGCAGACTGAAGTTCCTAGAATATAACATAATATTCTGTAACATGTGCACAGTCCTGAAGAGCTGGATTTTTCCAGATTTTATCCAGTGGCAGGTTTCAGTCCTTCCTACAGACGTCTCTGGCAGACTGAAGTTCCCTCTTCTCCAACACTGTTCAAAAGCTGAGGGGGGTGGGGAAGGGAAACTCCCATGTGGTGTATTCACAGATTGTGATCCATAAAGGAATGGGCCCAGAGGCAATCAGGGCTTCTTCCATANGGGGAGGACACGCTGAGTGAACCAGCCCACAGAAATCTAGAGTACGATGGCTCACCAACATTTTGTATGAATCCTACCAGAAGTTATTCCTGTAAGAGGGCTGTGTGCTCACCGTAGTCTGCGAAGGAGCTCTCAAGCAAAGAAGTTTAAACCAATACGCAAAATTCAGATCCCATCAACTCCACCAGACTTCTTAATTGCCTCGTTATACGGTTTGTCAAGCCAGTCTGTTGCAGCAGCCTTGTGAAAAGTCGCAACAGCCAGATTTTCCCCTGTTGTGCAAGTCTTACAAGCACAGAAGCCCACTCCAGGTCTGTTCATTGCCCCTGCACCAGAATTTCTGACCCTCCGTAGCAATTTGCCTACTCATTTCTTTCTTTAGCACAAACTCTCTCTTATCCTCTTGGTTGATATCTGGCATCATCACAGCCTTACCTGTCCATTGGCCCCTCCTTGCACCAAGTCCATGCTTGCAACAAGGAGGTGGCTACTTTTTTCCCTCTGTCTCAATTCTTGCATTATTTATTGTGTAATATATTACATTTGCACCCACTTTTCCACTAAAAAAAATGCTCAAAGCAGCTTACAAATTTCTTAAAAGAATAAACACAGGTAAAATCATATTTCATCTAAAAACTCAAATTTACAAGATTTTATAGTTAAATCCAATAAATCCATTAAAATAAATCAAGATGTCTTTCTTTTTTCTCTATACAGTACAGAGTAGATGTGGTAAACTGAATTTCTTTAGAATGAAAGTTGAGGTTGAAGGGGGACATCTCATGACAAAGGTTGACAAAATTAAACATGGTGTGGGGAACATGTCTAGGGAAGACCTGTCCCCCAAGTAGTGGAACTTGGGGCATCCCAGTGAAATGGATGGGTAGCTAAATTAAGAACTTTCCTGGGTCGTTTCAAAGACAAACTACTAGATAGTGGATGTAGGAAGAGCCACTAGCCACAAAGGGCTATGTTGTTCTATCCAACTGCTTCCATTCATTTGCTTGGATACAATATTCCCTCTAAGCTGCACAGTCACACAGCGGTTTCTCAGGCATGCACAGTACTGCATCAAGCTTGTGCCCCCAAAACCAGAGTTTATGCCCCTTTGGTTCTGGTTGTGGCTGGAGACATGGGGGGAGGGGGCAGAGCTGCACGCAGGGAGGGTGGAGCCCAACTCAGTGGCGCCCAAAATTGGAAAATGTTGTTGGATCCCAGTTCAGATCAGGATCAAGACCACATTGTCTACTTTGCTGCCTTCCTTGAGTCTAATGTCCAGCTCGCTGCCTCTTTCATTCCTTCCCTCCTGGGACATTTTCCTGCACGACGGTCCTAGCAGGCTGTCACCACTGTTCCTCCTGTGTATGAAGGTCAGAATCTCACTTCTCTCACAAAATATGGACTGTCTGTAAGTTTTCATTGTCTAGAATGAATTTAGAAGGTCCACAGATATGCTGTGATGGCTTACCATTGTTAGCCAATGTAATTTTGTTTGTTTGTTTAAATAATTGTATCCAAGGTGGCTTATATTATTAAAAGACAATATTAAAGCTAACAACAACGAGTATACTGTACAAGTATTAAAAAGCACCAAACAAATACCATAGAAAACACACAAGCAACACCAAAACACAATTAAAGCAGTAAAGTACAACAATCCATTCAGGTAGCCAGTCACTGAGAGAAAGCTTGCCTGAAGAGAAAGGTCTTCACCTGATTGCAGAAGGACAGCAAAGATGGGGCCAGCCTGGCCTCCTGTGGGAAACCCCGGAATTCTGTTGCTTGATATAGTAACTTACAACCAGAGCAGGCCCATTGAAGCAATGGAACATATGAAGGAACTGACACACCAAATCCCCATTGACTCAATGGGCCTACTCTAGTTGTGACTTACAATGCTAAGCAACGGGATTGCAGGCAATATATGCCTTAAGTTTTCTTAATTAAAAAATATCTAATGTTAAACACTGAGTGTCACAATATATCCCGATGATTGTCAACATAAATGCTAGGCTAGATATGCTTCCAGTACCTCGCTACGTTATATCCCAAATATTTCCCATCATTTTTTAAATCGAAAGTTGTATCACCACAGAAAAGAAAGCTACCTATCTTACCAGCTATGACTCCAAGGATAACTTGATGTGGGAAATGTGTGGCAATATATACTCTTGATACACACACACTGATCTGAATAATCCAGAACACACTCCACAGGAAGGACCAGGTAAGTCTACAAAAGAGAAGGTCATGAGAAAATTAAAACAAAATGTCAAATGTCAAATTATTATACTGTCCTGCCCCTCCACAGTCTCTCAGCAGCCACAACTGTCACTCCATTTCGCTCTTTTAATATTTCACCTTCTGTTTATCAACCTCTCAGCCTCCTACCTTTCCTTTCCGTCTCTCTGTGCTCTATTTCTGTATTCATTCTTCCCACCTCTTAGCTCCGCATGTCTGTTAAGTTCAGCAACAGGAGCGCATGAGGATTTCACTCTCCCCCTACTTTAGACACGGAGAGCTCATCCAGATGGAGCATTTGTTCCTCATAAGGACACAATTGGTGCTTTTTCTGCCATCCTGATGACATAAGCCTTAAATCAGTACCAACAGAGACAACTAGCTAATTGTTTTCCTGATTTTCTGGTTTTTTAAAACCATCTCCCGCAGATGATGTTCTGTTTTGTTTGCTTTATGCTGGGGCACAGTTAAAGCAGGAAGAACTTTTGGGGTGGTGTGAACTTTAAATGTAAGCGCTAAGCAACAAACACAAAAATCCTGTACAGATCATTCTTTTAAAGGTTTTGAAGAGGTTCCTCACTTTTATTTTTATTTTTAAACAGTTATTGAGAGAGAGACTGCTGATTTCCAAAGTAGATTAGCAATGGGGTGAGCCTCTGCAGAAAAAAGACTCAGATCAGAAGCTTTGGTTCATACTGTTAATCTACTTTAAAAGAAAAACGGATTTAAAAAAAAATCCAGTACAGAAGACCATTTTAAAAATATTTCTTCAAACTTTTTTGAAATGTTCTTGAACTGCTCCTTGAAAAGATGTTGATTTCTTAAAGAGGAATCAGTGTGGATACAACCCTGATAAGATCCACCTTTATTTGGCATTAAGCAGCACTAACAGGCACAAAGGGGAAAAGAACAAACCCTCCAACTAGGTGAACCCTGGGAAATGTAAGCAGAATGTCATCTGTTTGAGTGGGAGAGATTAAAAAGAATGACCATAAACTTCTAATTCCAGGGAGAAGAGAAGCAATGCAGATATAGGGTGGCAAGAAGGGCCAGCCCTACTATTAGGCAGGCTGAAGCAAATGCTTCAAGGCAGCATATTTGGCTGTTCATGGAAGAGCATCAAACTGTTGGCTATTTGCTTTGTCATTGTTATATATTTACAGGTAGGAATTAGGAGATGTGCTTATGGGATTATTCTGATAAAAGGACGTGACAGATTTTAGATCCCTACTGTGTACTGGACAGAAAGAGATTCATAGCCTGCCTGCAACATTTCTACTAGGCAGGCATTCTTTATAGACAAAGTACATTTTCACCATATGTTCAAAATATAGACAAACTATATTTCTTTATAGACATACTAAATTTTAAACCAAATCCCTTATGAATACACAGTGGGAGTGAAGAACAGATTTAAGGAACTCGATTTGGTGGACAGAGTGCCTGAAGAACTATGGATGGAGGCTCGTAACATTGTACAGGAGGCAGCAACAAAAACCATCCCAAAGAAAAGGAAATGCAAGAAAGCAAAGCGGCTGTCCAATGAGGCCTTACAAATATAGCAGAGAAGATAAGGGAAACAAAATCCAAGGGTGATAGGGAAAGTTACAGAAAACTGAATGCAGACTTCCAAAAAATAGCAAGGAGTGACAAGAGGGTCTTCTTAAATGAACAGTGCAAAGATATAGAGGAAAATAATAGAAAGGGAAAAACCGGAGATCTGTTCAAGAAAACTGGAGATATTAGAGGAACCTTTTGTGCAAAAGTGGACATGATAAAGGACAAAAATGGTAGGGACATTACAGAAGCAGAAGACATCAATAAGAGGTGGCAAGAATACACAGAGGAATTATACCAGGAAGATCTGGATGTCCCAGACAATCCAGATACTGTGGTCTCTGACCTTGAGCCAAACATTCTGGAGAGTGAAGTCAAGTGGGCCTTAGAAAGCTTGGCTAACAACAAGGCGAGTGGAGGTGATGGCATTCCAGCTGAACTGTTTAAAATCTTAAAACTAAGATCATGGCCACTGGTCCCATCACCTCCTGGCAAATAGGAAGGGAAGATATGGAGGCAGTGACAGATTTTACTTTCTTGGGCTCCATGATCACTGCAGATGGTGGCAGCAGCCACGAAATTAAAAGATGCCTGCTTCTTGGGAGGAAAGCGTTGACAAATCTAGACAGCATCTTAAACAGCAGAGACATCACCTTGCCAACAAAGGTCCGCATAGTCAAAGCTATGGTTTTTCGTATAGTGATGTACAGAAGTGAGAGCTGGAACATAAAGAAGGCTGACTGCCAAAGAATTGATGCTTTTGAATTGTGGTGCTGGAGGAGACTCTTGAGGTCCCCTGGACTACAAGGAGATCAAATGTATCCATTCTGAAGGAAATCAACCCTGAGTGCTCACTGGAAGGACAGATCCTGAAGCTGAGGCTCCAATACTTTGGCCATTTCATGAGAAGAGAAGACTCCCTGGAAAAGACCCTGACGTTGGGAAAGTGTGAAGGCAAGAGGAGAAGATGGTTGGACAGTACCATTGAAGCTACCAACATGAATTTGACCAAACTCTGGGTGGCAGTGGAATACAGGAGGGCCTGGCGTGCTCTGGTCCATGGGGTAACAAAGAGTCGGACATGACTTAATGACTAAACAACAGCAACAACAAATTTTAACTCAGATGAGTATCGTGCACCTTCAGGCTGTCTACAGTGCCATGCGGTGCTTGCTAGCTGTTCCCTGCTTTTTAAATTGTTTACCTGGAGGAAGCCACACCGATATACTGTAGTTCATGCTCATCTCATCTCACTCCGTCTTTATCAAGGTAAATTTATGGCCCTGAAGGTAACACCAAATCTTCTCCGTACACTAATATTTGATCAGACCGGAATTTAATAATGGGAGTCTAAAACCAGACTAAACACCGCATCTTGTTTAGCTATCCATCTGCATTCAGTAACAAATCAATAAACTCACCACAGTGGGGCTACATATCTTTACAAAGAGACTGACCTGTGGAGATTAATGGCTGATTTATCTTTCTGTCTCACTGTATAGCTGAGGGCTGCTGACACCATTACATACCAAACGCATGAAGATCCCATGGCATGCCCAGAGGGGCTTCCTGTGGAAATGAAAAAAACAAGGTGGTGGTGAAGTACCCAAAGTGGGGCATCTTAGTCTGTGTTTACATCACACAGCAGGATTAGCTACAACCAGTGCCCCCAAATCCCACTGATACTGGGGATAAAACTAGATAATAATCATAGCACGCATGTTGAAGCACTGTTCCCTTAAGTGATGGAAGATATCTGTGTGTCGCAGCATGTCGTTTTCCCCAGTCTTGCCATCTTGTATATAGTTGTGCTTTGTTTTACGATTGGTCTTTGGAAGATCCCCGCTAGCCCACTTTGTAAGCTGGATTTCAGAGTCACACGTCTCTGAGGAAAACCCACGGCTGGAGGGAACGCAGGAACATCACAAGCACTACACAGTCCCTTTAGCATCCAGTTGGATATTGTGACTGTGGTGAGAATCAGGAAGGCAGAAACAGGAATAAATAAGAGGCAGCCTGTAAACGCCAGAGGTGCACATAGGAATCAAGTGCCAACAGCATTCCTAGGTCCCCTGCAGAATGCCCCAAATTCTCACATCTGAGATTTCTCCCTTCAGAGGAAACCAGTCCCAAAAGTAACAGGTCAATTAACACACAATCAAAGCTAGCATTTTCATATCCCCTCACGTTGGCTGCATGATGTTTATTCATCTCATTCCTAATCCCCATGCTTGCTGAGCACGACTTGCACATCCTTCCACCATTAGAACAGTATCATTCACCTTCTGGCTGTTTCAACTACCATATGGTGCCCTCTCTCACCTGGTCACATCACTCATTCTTAATCTAGGCAGACTACACACACACACACACACACACACACACACACACACACACACACACACACACACATGCATGCATGCACACACACACGCACAGAGAGAAAGAGAGACAGACAGACAGACACACAAACATT